ATTTTCAGTGGCTACTCCCAAAGATAAAGAAACCTATTTGAAGGAGTCTTAGCTTCTCTTTACCTTGTACTCCCTCTGTTCCACAAAACCCTTCCGGTTTTGACTTTGGAGAAAAATAAGGAAAGTATAATTTTTGTTGACTTTCCAATTTTGCCCCTGATGTGATGGGAAAAAGTAAGATGTGATAGTTTGGTTATTAGTGATAAAGTATGATGTGATATGTAGGGTATGAAAAAGTAGGGGTAAAAGTGGTTTTTTAATAGAAAGTGGAAGTGTTTTGTAGAAAGCAAAAAAAACGAAAGAGGAAGGGTTTTGTGGAACGGAGGGAGTATATATGAAGCATTCCTCCTTGAATACAAACAGAACATTAATTACTCCAAATTAATTTCTTCATTGCATCCCTCCAGCACACCCGGCGGCGCTTCTCTCAGTAAGGTTCCTTTGAACGGTGATGTAAACTACCGTCGCGTGAATGGGAGAGTTCAATGAAGAATGCGTTGCGGGCCAAACACAAACTTGGGTTCATTGATGGAACTCAAACACTTTCTCCAACGGCTGCGGCTCATGATGTTGATGCTTGGAATCCTTGGATTAGTGTCAATTCTGTAAGTTCGTGGGGCGCAGCGGAAATCCCCAATTTAGAGCTATGCAAACAAATCATCGAACTATAACACTTCTCTACACAGAAGCAGATGATGCAGAGGGCGTTACAGCGCCTACTGGGCGGAATGCTGTAACTATAAAATGCGTAAAAAATAATACCGGATATGTTAACGCAGTTCGGAGAACTCTCCTACTCTGTGGGGCCCACGTCCGTGTAATAGCTCTCCACTAAATCACTAGATGCAAGTTACACCGGTACATAACAACATGATGAGACACGCTTCTCCGAATTGTTATGACAAAACTTCTAATCTAGGATTTCTAACCCGAACTCTGTTCAGATCCGCTTCGGCTGTCACATCTCCACCGAGATCACGAGGACAAACGTGTTGGCAGCCCTCTCCTTAAGCTCTAGTTCCTCTCCAGGACGTCACGATCTGTTTGGCGTTGAAGATCTCATCCTTCATGTATATCGTGACCTTCTTCACGCATGGGAAGCTCCGGGACGCGACGGGAATGCTCTACATTAGCTTATATTCTTTGTTTTCCCTCTCAATCATTCCAAGTAATTCCTAGGGACCTGCTGCATTTTTATAGGCTCCTCTTAACACAATCCTAGTAGGAATAGGATAGTAGAAGTTGGCTTGAACTCAACTTCCTTAATCTTGATCCACAAGTAGCCTAAAGAGTTGAGATTTCTTCACCAGTAAAGCTGGAGTTATTATCATGTAATCACAATCCCAATAGGTCTCTAATCCAGATTGCAGCTTAAAATCCCGCGCTCAGACCTCTGATCCCGAACAGCGTGTTGCAGCATCGTGCTGTAGCATCTTCTGTGTCACCCTCGAAAACTGCAACTCTAGAAATCTAAATAAAATAAACCTCTCCTAACAAATAGAGGTTTCTACCTAGTAAAAACACCTAACAAATATGGGATTCTATTTTGCCAAAAGATTAGCCAACACCATGGTACTAACAAATTCAATGGTTCAATCACTTGATCGAGCTATGTGGTTGGACCTTAAAGGTCGTTTTTCGGTGAGTGATGGTGTTCGTTTATTATATCATCTCAAGGAGGAAATTCGTAATACTCGTCAACATGGCTCGTCCGTCACGGTCTATCATGGCCGTCTTCGAGGATTATGGGATGAACTTGACGGTCATTCCTAAATGTTCTTGTAAAAAATGTACGTGTGATCTTGAGAAAAATTTCCGGGCGCAACGTGAGAGAGAGAAAGTTCATGAATTCCTTAGCTTCTTGGTTTGGACGAGGCAGTACGTTTTCGGCACCGTACTACGTTCTCATACTTTGAGTGCCACTCCTCCATCCTTGGCTTTCACGTATAATCGGAATATTGTTGGGGGAGGAACGCCATTGATCATCATGTGTCTTGTGATCATGATACACGCAATGAAATTGCTAGTTTCGGGACACTGCGTCGCCATCATCTCTGGCCGGCTACGGTCCACGGATCTCGTGGGAACCGTGTTCTACCTTCCGGTGACCAGCAGGGGTCCTCTCCAGGGGGTCGTTTCTGCATTCATTGTTCGTGATCGGGTCATGAGGTCGAGACCTGTTTTATTGTATGTTAGTTAGTTTCCATTCTCTATTCCTAGTTGTGTTAGGAGTGTCTCCTATATATATACTCTATCATGTACTTCGTAATTCAAGGAACAATATTATTATTCCAATATTTCAATATGGTATCAGAGCTACCGCTCTTGGTGACCTAAAAGAGTTCTTTGCTCCCACCGCCGCCGCCGGTAATTCCGGCGACGACGGCTCCACCCTATTCACCTCTATTTTCTTTTTCTTCTTTATCCTCAAATCAATTTCTCCATTCAAATGGGAAAAAAAAAGAAAAAAAAAACCCCTGTTGAAATCACACAAAAAAAACTATCAAAGGAGGAACTTCTTTCTTGTTATCTCCATTGTTCTTCAAAAAAAACCAACTCCTCACAAATTCTCTTAGATCATCCTATCTTCTCAAAAAAAAGGAAAAAAAGATTGTTGTTTCTCTTCAATTCACCATATCAAAATCTCAGACCCAATTTTTTTTGAGGAATTTATCTAAATAGCACTAAAACATAATGACTTTCCCTAAATAGCACTACATATGTTTTTCTTTCCAATGTAGCACTTTTAGTCATTATGCATTAGTCATTATTCAAGCAAAATTTCGCCATCACTGGACATTATGGACATTATAAGTGCTATTTAGAGAATAAAATAGTTTAAGTGCTATTTAGGGAAATGACTTAAGTTTTAGTGCTATTTAGTGCAAATATTTCTTTTTTTTCCATCACCAATTCTTAACTTACTTTTTCTCTCTAAAATCACTCATTCTAATCATCAACCTTCCTTCCCTTTCTCTTCTGTTGAACGAATAAAAATCCAAAGTAAACAACAACCCAAAAGCAAAGCCAAGAGGAGAAGTAGTGAAAGAGGAAAGAATACCTCTACACCCCTTCAAGAAAGAAATAGGGCATTGCCCGGATCTAAGAAAAAAAGACAAAGAATGTCAAGGATCTTCAGTCAAACATGCACCTCCAGTAGTCTTCTCGATTCTTCTTCGACGTCAGCAGCTACAAGCGCACGTCAACCTTGTCTCTTCTTCTTCGACGTCAGTAGCTACCAGCGCACGTCAATTTCTTTCTTCTCCAACGACGTTAGCAGCTATCAGTGCACGTCATACTTTTCTCTTCTCCAACGATGCCAGCAGCCACCGGCGCATGTCAGACTTGTCTCTTCTCCAACGACGTGAGCAGCTACCGGCACACGTCCGACTTCTCTCTTCTCAAAGTTTCCAGTTTCCAGCTAGTGTCCAAGCTTCCTCTTACTTCAGCCAGAGTTCAGCTTGAGGGGGAATGTTAGACAATAATACTAATATTACTTCTGGTAGTATTGGTTATGGTAGTGTTTCATTATTAGTCAGCTTCCTAATCTTATTTGTAGTATATGTTGTATTTTAGTTAGTCTCTATTCTCTATTCCTAGTTGTGTTATGAATCTCTTCTATATATACTCTATCATGTACTTCGTAATTCAAGGAGCAATATTATTATTCCAATATTTCAACACATGGCATAAACCAAAAAGTCGCGGAAGTGGAAGTAGTGGGGAAGAAAAAAAGTTTAGCGCTTAAATTAGAAGTTGTTTGACTGTTTTTGTGTAGTGTTTATTGGCTTATTGTTGATAAAAAGTTTTTAACATATAAACTATTTATTGAAGTTTTTTTTGTAAAGTGACTTAAATGAGGGATGAGTCATCTGCGAATGTTCATAAAATGTTAAGAATAAATGATTTGATCGAGAAGTGAGTAATAAGCAGCTTATAAGCACAAGGAAATATTAAGTACCTACTTAAGAGGTGTTTCTCTGTACTGGTTCTTATTGACTTATTGTTGATAAGCAGTTTTTAATTTATAAGTTGTATGTTTTTATAAGTCAAATATTCTTTGATGGAAATAAAATGACTTAAATGATAGATAAGTCATTTGCGAATATTCACAAATGGTAAGAGACAGTTTTGTAAATAATCTGGTCGAAGCGAAGAATTGAAAAAACTTACTTAAAAATAAGTAGCTAAGCCATACTTATTTTTTCTATCTTATAAGTCAGCTTATTAACACGCAGAAATACTTATAAGTTAAAAACTGTTTATAAATAGTTTTGATCAGTTTATAAACACAAAGAAACACCTAGCATGATAAATACTTATAAGTTAATATCATCTTAGAATAATAAAATATAATACTGATATGACGAGATCCACCGACCTCATTTTAGATGGACCTTTCATGTGAGTGTGGTAATAAGCAAATAGGGAGTACTTACTACCATGATAAATACTCCCTCCGTCCCATAAAGTTAGTCCGTTTCGAAAAATTTGCGTCCCTTAAAGTCCGTCCCATTTCTATTAAAAACTATTTTTACCCCTTACTTTTTCATACATTACCTATCATAGCATACATTTTTTCTAAAAATCTATCTATCACATTATACTTTTACCCATCACAACAAGGATATTTTTGGAAAGTCAACAAAAAATTATCCCTCTTTATTTTACTACTTTAATCAAAATGTCTAAATCTTTATGGGACGGAGGGAGTATTTTTTTGCGAAAAAAAAAACAAAGTTTATCAGCGTAATAAGCATTTACTTGCCACAAGCATATCAAGGTCCATCTAAAATGGTGTGAACCTTAAGAGCACTAAATTAAAGAAACACTCCAATGATATAATAACTTGAAGAGTAATATGTGTGACTGATACAGTATTAATTGAATAAGCATTAAACAAATTACAAAGAGTCCCAACACTAGAATTAAATTATCTAACGGTTTAACAAAGGAAGAAAGATCAAAGTAGGACTAAAACATTGAAAATATACCAAAATAAGACTTCCATGTTTTTATTTTCGGAATAGGACTTACATTACCAAACATGGTCATATACATTACCAAGAAAGTATAGTAATTTGCACATGTACACTGCCACATTACCACAATGCAAAGTCACATTACCACAGTGCAAAGTCCTATTCCGGAAAAAAAAACATGAAATTCCTATTTTGGTACTTTTCTCTATATTTTAGTCCTATTTAGGATGATTTCCATTTAGCAAAGCAATTAATTAAAGATAAATAGTGAATTTAAAATAACAAAAGTTTTACGGGGACATAAATGGTAGAGGCAACAAATTTAGGCGTGCGTCCCCCGGCATGATGTGGATGAAGGGTTTGGAGCATGGTAGGTGTAAAGGCAGACGAGAACCCAATGAATGGCGCAAACGATTAGTCCTCCCATTATCAACGCTGTTTTGTTTACTACCAGAACCAGGTACGCCCCTACTATGACGCCAAAAACCCTGCGTGAAAACGTAAAACGCATCACCAATTAAGCTTGCTCTCACTGCACCAGAAACAACCCTAGCCTAGCTTGTGTATATATATATAATATTTCGATACTCCCTCCGTCCGTCCGTCCCAAATTATTTGCAACTTTTGCTACTTTTTCAACAGTCGCGGGAACTTTTGTTTATTTCTGCGTACGTTTTCATCGCTTATTTGATAAAATAAAATATTCTTGATTGACACCTTTTATTTCGAACAACTTTTCATGTTGTATTTTGATATGTAAATTTTAATTTTTATTTCTATACCAATATGTAAATAAAATGAATTGAAAAGACTTGATATTTTGCTCCGGGAATACAAATATTTAGGGGGGGAGGGAGTATATAAAAGAGAATATCCCTGGCCTGGCCCATTATTACCTTTGGAGTAATTAATAAATGAAAAAATCACATACCAAGTCATAATAAACATAGCCCCGTCAATGTTACAGCAGGTACAGACTCCATTGTCGTCCTTGGTGAAACCCGCGGAACATGCATAAATTGTAACACACACTTGAGCAGCCACAACAGCACCGATTGTCAATGCGCTAAGAAGAGAGTGATGGCTCCCCTGCTACATGTCCAGATATGAATAATCATTTATGTATTTGCATAATTATAGCCACACATTTTGAGGAGAACATAAGTAGTGGAGCTGGGTATAGGGGATTTAGGGGTGGTTAGGGGGCATAAGATCCATCAATTTTGAAAACGGGGCATCGAAAGTGCTTCAAAATGACAGTAGCACCGGAGTGTCACCCTACTCCGGTGTCACTAGATTCTATTGCGTGTATGTGTGTGGAGGAGAAGAAGAGAGAGAGAGAGAGTATATGTTTACCTTAGAAGAGGATACTCCACCTGCGGCAAATCCCAAAGCTATAAGATCCAAGGCTAAGATCATGATATTAAAAAAGCCTTTTTTGTTCATGTTAGCGCGCGTGTGGAAAGTTTAATTTGACGATAAATAGGGAGTATATATATTTGTGTAATAAGGAAGTTATGTGATCAAGAATGAGTTATATACATACATACTCCTTCCCTCCTAGCTATATATAGTGTTTCTTCAGTCTTTATTTTTTTTATATAACCAATTAAGATCAACATTTAATCTATAATAAAATAAAAATAATTTTGAAAGTACTTTTCAAGATGAATCTAGTAAAATTATACTCCCTTTTTTCAAGTAAAGCCATATATATATATGACAGCTCATATAAAATCATGTGTCATAAAGGTATTAACACATACTTAGTCTTGTTTAGGAAAAACATATTACTCCCTCCGTTCTCAAAAACACTTCCCCTTTCTATTAAAAACCACTTTTACCCTTATTTTTTCATATCCTACCTATCACATCATACTTTTTCTCTGATAATAAATCCATCACATCTTACTTTTACCCATCACATCAAAGACAAAATTGGAAGTCAATTATAATTTTAAACTTCCTTATTTTGCCTTATAGTCAAAGTGTTAAGACTTTTTTCAAACGGAGGGAGTATCCTTTAGAGATAAGAATTATGTTTAGATCTTATTTTGATATTTTTTATCATTTGAAGAAATAAAATAGTCATATTAATTGGTAAAAATATTTTAATGTCATTTTTAAATATATAAATTCTTTTATTTCTATACAAATTAATAAATAAAATTATTTTTTAAAAAAAAAACTAAAACTTTGACGTTATGCATGATAACACCATACACAACTCTATGTTTACTTTCTTTAAAAAGTTGCCGAGTAGAACTTAGAAGTGTAGAACCGGTACTGTGTATTGTCAAAAAGAAAAAAGAAAAGTATACTCCCAAGTCCAAAGGTGGTAACTTTTTAAAAACATGAAGATGTTAGTTTGGCACTCTTATACTCCCTCGGTTGCTAAATAAACTTTCCCTTTCGTTTTTTCTTTGTCTCCAAATAAACTTCTCTTTTTCCTTAAAAAATCCCTTTTACCCTTTACTTTTTCATACCCTACCTATCACATCATACTAATAATCTACATATCACATCTTACTTTTACACATCACATCAAGAGTATTTTTGGAAAGTCAACACAAAAATATCCCTTCCTTAAATTATCAAAAGGTCAAAAAGGAAGTTTATTTAGGGATGGAAGGAGTATGTCTTAGACGATCTCTTTAAATTCAATATTTCCTCCATCTAGAAGCTCAAGCAATTTTTCTATTGCGTTACATTTACTCCTTCCAGATTTATTTTTGGTTTGTTTTTCTTCATTTGGATTTAATCATTTCATTTCTTATATATATATATATATATATAATTGAATTCAGTCAGATGGCACCTTACGATATGACATGCTAAGGTGAGATGACGCCAAGTTCACCACATTACACTGCAAAGCTCACCTGGAAATAAAGCAAAACTCACCACTTTAAACAGCAAAACTCGGCATTTTTTATAATTTTAAAAATTAAAAAATTAATTAAAAATAAAATAGCAACACTGGTCAACCATCGGTCAGCACCAGCGGTGGCAGGCCGGCGACCGGCGGTAGGTGGCGGCGGTCAAGGGTGGCGGTTAACGGTCAAAATCTAGTCAGCACCTCTTCTTTTAATTTTACTTTTTAAAAAAATTCAAAGTGTTGAAAAAATATGGTGAGATTTGTCTTACAGTTTGGTGAGCTTTGTAGTTGTCCTTGGTGAGCTTTGATGTGGTCAGTGGTGAGTTTTGCGTCATCTGACCGTAGCATATCATACACTCCCTCCGTCCCTGAAAACCTTTCTCCTTTCTTTTTTCACTCGTCCCAAAGAACATTTCTTATTTCTATTAAAAAGTCACTTTTACCTCTTAATTTTTCATACTCTACCACATCATATCTTTTTACTAATAATCTACCCATCAAATATTACTTTTAGTCATCACATCAAAGAATTTTTTTGAAAATCCAACACCAAAATACATTTCTCTTAAATCTCTTAAAAATCAATAACTCCCATATTTTTAGAACCGCAGAGAGTATGTGTGTGTGTGTGTGTATGTATATGTATATATCTTTATATATGTATATGTATGTATATATCTATATATATGTATTTGTATGTATATATATAGGGGCCGGTTCCCGTGGGAATGCACCTTGTGGAGAGAAATGAGAATAAAATCTAGCCGTTGGATCTGATGCACCGTGCGGCTCAGATTTCATTCTGCGCTCAGATTTTGAGATAGTGCATTTTCAAAGGATTTTGGTGCATTTCGACATGATGCATTTTCAAACCATTTTGGTGCACCTAATTTTGATGCAATCCTGACCCTTAGATCTCACAATCTAAAACACTAGATTCATTCTCATTTCTCTCCTAAGATCGAATTCTCACCCTTAGATCGTATTGTAATGCCAGTTAGATGGATAACACAGCAATGATGACTGTGACGGTGGACTATGATTTCAACAAAGACCACAACTAAACATAAAAAATTATGAAAAACTATATATAACGGATCGGATATTTGGATAAACAGTTATTTAAACGGATGCATATTCGGATCGGATTTTAAACGGATCGGATATACAATTACCAAATCCGTATCCGTTTAGTAATCGGATACGGATAATATCCGTTTAAAACGGATGCAGATATTTCCCCTTTAAACGGATTCAGATGCGGACGGTAATCGGATTTTCGGCTATCCGTTGACAGCCCTAGCTAGAATACTTCCACTATCCAATAATCATTTTTCTGTTTTATTTAAGTTGTTTCGTAATTTTCTTCTTTTCCTTATAAGTAAAAAGTTATTTGTTCATATCCTTTATCTTCTTTCTATACAAATTACAATGACACAAACTCTATTTGATTAAAAATCGTGTCAAGTCAAATAAGAAAAAAAAATAAAAAACAATGATATATTATTTTAAAATAAAAAATAATATATGGAGCAAGTATTTAAAAACTACATCTAATGATATATACTCCCTCCGTCACAAGTGAAATTATTTGTTTACTATTCACATGTTTTGTTATGTGTATTTATTTATTCCGATTAGGCTCAGGTCACCCGTAAAAATTCGGTCCGTAATTGTGCACTACAAGGGTACCAAAAGGAACAACACTCCAACCCAATCTCGCCACACTCCACTCACAAAGAAACGGAGAAGAACTGAGATCAACTCACAAAGGAAGAAAGAAACCCACACGGAAGTCTCACAAAGAGAGAAAGGAGTTTTGCACGGTGAAGAAACACAAAGGGGAAGCCTCAATTTATAGTAGAAATTTAGGAGCTAATTAAGGTAAGCTTAATTAGGTTAGGAATAAAGGTTGGGCTTGAGTAAATGGGCTGTTGGGTTGGGTGTCAAATATTATTAATATGCTTGGGCCAACCCAAATAAATTAACAATCTCCACCTTTGGCCCAAAGTAGTGCACATAGTTAGACAAGGAACCGCGGGACTCATCATAGCCTAATAACCACTAAATGTGTAATCAACAAATGATAACACACGTAGTGGTGGAGAGTTCACTAAGTACTCTCAAGTCACGAAGACTAGGCAACATCACAAAGCATGCCAAAAATAACTCACGAAGAGTCGAACTCTACCATTGGGTCATCGAGTTCAAAAAACAAAAAAAACGAAAGTCACAAAGACAAAAAAGAAACAAAAGATCCATACACAATCACAGAGATAGGTTTAAAATCTTTTGACATAAGGTAAATTTTTCAACAGGTAAACACTTAGTACCCATGTCAGCTGGATTAGACTCCGTAGGAATTTTCTCCAGCATGACAATGCCCTTTTCAACTATGTCTCTAATAAAATGAAACCTAACATCAATATGTTTTGTTCTATCATGAAAAACAGGATTTTTGCATAGTTGAATGGCAGATTGACTATCAGAAAAAACAATCACATTCTTATCGAGCAAGCATATTTCAGATAAAAGACCTTTAAGCCAAATGGCTTCTTTAAAAGCATCTGTGGCTGCAACATACTCAGCCTCAGTAGTAGATAAAGCAACAATGTGTTGAAGTTGAGATTTCCAACTAATGCAAGAACCACACAAAGTGAACACGTAGGAAGTAGTAGATTTTCTATTATCCCTATCGTTTGCATAGTTAGAATCCACATAGCCAATCAATTTAACACTTTTATCACTTCTTAAAAAAGTTAAACCAACATTCCTAGTAGATTTTAAGTATCTCAAAAGCCATTTTAGAGCATTCCAATGAGCCATACCAGGATTAGACATGTATCTACTCAAACAACTAACAGCATAAGCAATATCAGGCCTAGTGCTAATCATAAGATACATCACAGAACCAATAGCATTCGAATAAGGCACACTTTTCATTTCATTAATTTCAGCTTTAGTTTTAGGGCACATATCCTTGCTCAACACAAAATGAGCAGCTAAAGGAACATCCACAGGTTTAGCATCAGACATAGCAAATTTACTCAAGATCTTATCAATGTAGGAATTTTTATTTAAAACAAGAGTAGAATTCTTTCTGTCCCTAACAATATTCATGCCAAGTATTTTTCTAGCATCTCCTAAATCTTTCATGTCAAAATTTTTGCAAAGATAATTTTGAACATGCTCAATAGACTTTAAGCTAGGACTAATGATTAGCATATCATCCACATAAAGGAGAAGAAAAACAGGAACAGAGAAAGTGTTCTTGAAATACAAGCAGTGATCAGCATTACTTCTCTTAAAACCAAAGTTTTTCATGCAATTATCAAATTTAATGTTCCATTGCCTAGGTGATTGTTTTAAACCATACAAAGCCTTTTTCAACAAGCACACATGATTAGGCAACTTAGGATCAACAAATCCTTCAGGTTGGTGCATATAAATATTTTTATCAAGATCACCATGTAAGAAAGCAGTAGTCACATCCATTTGTTTTAGTTCCCAATTATACTGAGCAACTAAAGACAACATGATTCTAATTGTGGTGAACTTGACAACAAGAGAAAAAATTTCTACATAATCTATTCCCTCCTTTTGAGTAAATCCCTTAGCCACAAGTCTAGCCTTAAACCTAACATTTTCAGGTTCTTGCTTAATTTTAAACAACCACTTATAGTCCACAAAAGAACAATTTTCAGGTTTTGGCACAAGTTTCCACGTTTGGTTAACACGAAGGGATTCCATCTCACATTTCATAGCACTAACCCATTTTTCAGAACATTTAGATTCTAATGCTTCACGATAAGTCTTAGGTTCATCACACTCAAGGGATTCAAACACATGAAAAGCAAACTCAGACATATTACAGTCATCAACATATCTCGCAGGTTTGCTAATGGTTCTTCTATTTCTATCCCTAGCAAGTTGATAGTCATGCAAATCATTTTCAACATGTGATTCTACACTATCATGCTCTACCTCATTCGAAATAGTCTCATCTTCATTAGTGTGTGAATCAACATGTTCATTAGTTTCTACATGCACATCAGTAGGAATGATAACAGGCAATTGTTCCACCTCATTTGGAGCCACATTTTCAACATTGGGAATAGGCAAGGACAAACAAGGAAAATTATTTTTATTGAAAACAACATTTCTACTTATCACAATTTTGAAACCTGGTTCACCTTTTACCCACAACCTATAACCCTTTACCCTGTCAGGGTACCCCAAGAAAACACATAGTTTAGATCTTGGTTCGAGTTTATCTTTCATTTGATGCACATAACCAGCACAACCAAACACACGCAGGTTTGATAAATCTAAGGGTTTACCCGAGAAAGCAACTTCTGGGCAATTCCCTCCTAAAGGTATAGATGGAGACCTATTGATCAAATAAGCAGCACTGCAAACAGCTTCACCCCAAATTTTTTTAGAAAGTCCAGAAGTAGCTAACATAGCCCTCACCCTCTCTAAAAGAGTTCTGTTCATCCTCTCAGCAACCCCATTTTGTTGAGGCGTGTAAGGAACAGTTTTGTGTCTTTTAATACCCCAAGTAACACACAAATTATCAAGTTGTTGTTGCAAAATTTAAGGTCATTATCTGTCCTAAGTGCTTTTATTTTCTTCCCAGTTTGGTTCTCAATTAAAACTTTCCAGTTTTTAAATTTATCAAAAACTTCAGATTTTTGTTTCAAAAGTAAGACCCAAACTTTCCTAGAATAATCATCAATTATCGAAAGAAAATATTGGTTCCCTCCATGAGTGGAAACACTTGCAGGACCCCACACATCGGCATGCAAATATTCAAGCACATCAGAACACTTAGTTCGAGTAACAGGATTCGAGTTAGGAAAACTAACGCGGGTTTGTTTTCCAAGCACACAAGATTCACAGAAAGGAACATGCATAAGCTTATCACTAGCCAAGTGTCCATTTTTATGCAATATTTCAAGTCCTTTATTACTCATGTGACCCAACCGTTTATGCCATAGAACAGAATTATCAACCACAGAATTAGCATGCTCACAAACAGGTTCAGCTTTGCACACATACAAATTATTTTTCTTTTCAGCTTTGAAGAGATGCACAAGAGAGCAAATTATAGGACAAATCAAGAACATGTCTAACATTTTTTAAGTTCACAATAGATCCAGAGTCAAATTTAAGACACATATCTCTAGGGGTGGACACGGTACGGTTCCGGGACGGTTCCGGTACCGCCACCCCGAGTAACCGGAAATGTTACCGTGCCGGCCGGTACCGGTTCCGGTTCCCGGACCGGCGGTTCCGGTACCGGACCGGCCCGGTTCGGCCCCCCCACCTTTTTTTTGCTTTTTTTTTAAATTTTTAAATTATAAAATTGTAAATTTGCAATTGTTTAAGGAAAGAATGAAATAAAAAATCTAAAAATGTAATTATTTAAATATTGAAAATGAGTAATACACTAACTGAAGAACAACCACATTTAATATCCTGACGGTTCAAAAAAAGCGACGAGGTAAAGAACTGTAAAGAAACCCTCGAAGGAGCTTATATATCGCCCCCCACTTTTTTTAACTTTTTGCAGGAATTTCAAATGAACAAAAAAAAAATTTAACCGGTACCGGAACCGGACCGGTACCGCCGGTACCGGAACTGGAGGTACCGCCGGTACCGGTACCAAAAAATAGGTACCGGAACCGGTACCGAAAGTGGCGGTACCGGTACCGGTTCCCGGAACCGGTGACACGGCGACCTTGCCGGTGACGGTGGTGGGTACCGGCGGTACCGGTACCGTGTCCACCCCTACATATCTCCAATTCCAAAAACTTTGCATTTCTTTTCATTAGCCATGGACACAATACCATTATCAATCTCTTGATAGTTTGAAAAAAGGTTTTTAAATGGTGACATATGCAAGATGCAACCAGAATCAACTAGCCAATCAGATTCACACAGATAATCCGATAGCACAGAGTTCAAATAAGCATAATCTTTGATCATTAACACATCACCAAAGTTGTTTGATTCACTAGCCATATTAGCATGATCTTTTTGCTGAATTTTCTTAGGCTTAGAACAACTATTACTGAGGTGACCATATTCATTGCAATTGTAGCATTTTCTTGTTTTAGACTTGGATCTAGACTTACCCCTTCTCTGGTTGAATTTTCTCACATTTGAGTTATCATTGTTAGCATGTTTATGGTTTTGAAACTTATTTAAAGTTCTACCCCTCACATGCATAACCTCCCTAGAATTTTTATCACTCTTAGAATTTTTCAACTCTAATTCCTTACTCTTGAGACCATTCACAACAACATCAAGAGAAATATTATCCCTACCATATTTAATTGCAAATTTAACATCACTGTAGGAATCAGGAATAGCATTCAAAAGAGCAATAGGGGTGTAGTCATCAATATGTTTATCACCGGTTAATTTAATATCAGAAATCAGTTTGGTAAAAACATCTAGATTTTCTTCTATGTCCTTAGACATATCCAATCTAAACTTGAAAAATTTTTCAAGCAAGAAAATCTTATTTGGCAAAGAAGTTTCAGTATAAAGTTCATCAAGTTTATTCCAAAGATCTTTAGCACATTTCAAAATACCAACTTTTCTGATCACACAGTCAGTTAAGTTTGAGTAAATTCCATAATTGGTCCTTTATAACAAGGGGGTTTCCCTGTTTAGTCCTCTATTATCAGATATTACACCAGTGGTCCTTCTTTTATGTGTATTTTTCCACAAATAGTCCTTTTTTTGATCTTCTATCATGTTGGGGTTAATTTGAGGGCTAAAAGTGTAATTTCGCAATGATAATATATATTTTTTGTCATACACAATTCCAAAGGGTATTCCGTTTCCATCGTTTGTGAATTACAGTCGCTTTCTACTACAACCATAGTCTACAAATGTGGTCTTTCGTCGGAATCCTAGCCCACAATCATAGTCATTATTTTTATGTTATTCGCTTAACCAATATCAGAATATGTCACTAAACATAATGTTGACGTCAAATTATACTTTTAGCCTTTAAATTAATATCAACATGCCAGAAGATCAAAAAAGGACCATTTGTGGAAAGGCACCCTTAAAAAAAGGACTACGGGGGTAATATTTGATAATAGAGGACTAAATATGGAAACCCCCCTGTTATAAAGGACCAATTATAGAATTTACTCGTTAAGTTTAAGTAGATTATGGAACAAGCAATTTCATTCATTTCAACTCTTTTCTCTTTAGCGTCTGTTTCTAGATATGAATTACTAACAGCCCTATAAACTTTTTGATGAACAAGAACACACTTCAATTTTTGTTTCCAAATACTAAAATCAGTTTTTCCATTAAATGGAGTCAAAGCATACTGATTCATACTAGACATATCCACTAAGGAGAAAAATGATCAAAAAATCACCACAAAGGAGAAAAATACCCACAAAAGAGAATAAAAAACTGAAAAATCAGCAACACAGAAGCACGTAGAATTTGGCCTAAATTTTCCAAAATTTGGCTCACGTGTGTGAAGCAATCGCACGAACAACCCAAGATTATTATGTAAGAAAAATTGCTTACTCAATCCCGTTGTTCTTTCACACGAGCACAAACTATAGTGGAATTAAGCAATCGGAAATAATGCAGCGGAATTAAACAACCCTAAAAAATGCTACGAAAGCAGAGGGATAAAGAGTTGTGTACCTGGGCGAATCTAATGCCTAGATTCGACTTACCTATTCCAGGGAGGAATTAAATTGAGAGCGCCGGCAGCGGATAAATGAACAGCAGTTGGAATCTTCTGCTTCTCCTACTCCAGCCTGCGCTTTCTTCTGCTCTTACGGATCCGGCCTTTCTTTCCTTCAACTGACTTCAATTTGTTTTAATGATGATAGTGGGGATTGACCCACGGACCGAACAAGGAATTACCAAAAAAAATGGCATTCAAACTTTGACCACAAAAGATTAACCCACTGGAGAGATCCCTCACGGAAAAATAAATAAATACTGAGCACAAACCAAGTTCCGATACCACTGTTATGTGTATTTATTTATTCCGATTAGGCTCAGGTCACCCGTAAAAATTCGGTCCGTAATTGTGCACTACAAGGGTACCAAAAGGAGCAATACTCCAACCCAACCTCGCCACACTCCACTCACAAAGAAACGGAGAAGAACTGAGATCAACTCACAAAGGAAGAAAGAAACCCACACGGAAGTCTCACAAAGAGAGAAAGGAGTTTTGCACGGTGAAGAAACACAAAGGGGAAGCCTCAATTTATAGTAGAAATTTAGGAGCTAATTAAGGTAAGCTTAATTAGGTTAGGAATAAAGGTTGGGCTTGAGTAAATGGGCTGCTGGGTTGGGTGTCAAATATTATTAATATGTTTGGGCCAACCCAAATAAATTAACAATCTCTACCATTTTTATTTTCTTTTCCGGTTTCCCTGCAGGCTTGCCGCTTGCGTCAGTCCAGCCCACCACCTGCAAAAAAGAGTGGAACTGTGGAAGTGTTCATTCTTCAACGGGAGGGGGACTAGTTTTTTTCCCTGCCAGCTTGCATCAGTCCAGACATTAAAGGGAGGGGGACTAGTCGTCATTCTTCAACGGGAGGAAGTGGAAATGTGGATTGTGGAACAGGTGGCCTGCAATTTGCAAAAAAAAAAGCAAAAAAAAAGGGGGGGGAGGCGAAACCGGCCGGTCCGGTACTGGAACCGCCGGTCCGGGAACCGGAACCGGTACTGGCCGGTCCGGTCACGGTACCGGTGCCATGGGGTGGCGGTACCGGAACCGGCGGTTCCGGAACCGGAACCGGCGGTTTCGGAACCGGAACCGTCCCGGAATCATACCGTGTCCACCCCTAGTTTTGCACGGTGAAGAAACACAAAGGGGAAGCCTCAATTTATAGTAGAAATTTAGGAGCTAATTAAGGTAAGCTTAATTAGGTTAGGAATAAAGGTTGGGCTTGAGTAAATGGGCTGCTGGGTTGGGTGTCAAATATTATTAATATGCTTGGGCCAACCCAAATAAATTAACATGTTTAAACTTTATTCAATTTCTTCTCCTATTTTCATTAGTCAGTTGATAAAATAAAATAGTCATATCACTACTAGTTTTGTAAATCTTTTGATGTAGTATTTTAATATGTAATTTTAATTTTTAAGTCTACACCATTTTTTTGTAAAACGATTTAAAAATAATTTTATTCAAACATCGTAAACCAAAACATGCTATATAAATTGGAACGGAAGGAGTATAAAAAAGATGACATAAGCATATTATTTTAACTTGTGATTTACGAAATAAAGTGAAGAGAGCAAAAATTACTCACAAAGATGTTCGTGTTTCATTTTTTACATATCTTATAAGACACTTCTACACATATTTGTAGTCTAAAATTCACTTCATTTTCCTTTATTGCAGGTGGAGCCGGGGGTCTCTTGGAAACAGTCTCCCTACTTCCGAGTAGGGGCAAGGTCTGCGTACACACACCCTCCCCAGACCCTACTGTTGTGGGATTCAACTGGGTTGTTGTTGTTGTTGTTTCCTTTATTGCAGATAGAAGATCTATTGGGGGTGTTTTAGACATTTGAAGGGGTAGAAGTTTTTGTGAGATATACAAAAAATGAAGCAAGAACATCTTTTTCAGACGAAGGGAGTATTTAACATCAAAATAGTAATTAAACTTTAGGGAATAAAGGAAATAGATTTTTGGGTATTACGTATAAATAGTCCTCGTTACTTTCCATAAATGGTAACTAATCTTTAAATTTTCATTACAAGTTGTTATATAGTGCATGTTGTCAAAGAATCATTGCTTAATTTGTGTTTTAAAGGAAAGCGTGAAGAGTGTAGAACACACGCGTATTATGCAAAAATGAAAAGTATGTAACGATAAAAATTTGATCTAGAATTTTAATTGTGATCTATAAGCTACCTTGAGGTATAGTAATTGTCTTCTATGTAGTATCTTTTAGTTCAATTCTCAAAATAACTTTTTAATATCTTCCATTGTTTTGTTTTAGGAGAATATTTTTTGTGCTCTAAGAGTAATTTTGTGAGATAAGCTTGCTTCACATTTTCGCATAGTATGAGCATATTTTGCATGTTTCACGTTTTATATAGAGTAAAGACTATTTATAAAACACTTCTTTGCCGCTATATTACATCTTTTGAAAGTACAATGACTATTTATCAATCTATAAAAGACCACAAAAACTATTTATGTATTTAACTCTAAGAAACGAGAGGAAGGAAAACAACGAAAGATGGGAAAAAAAGATACCAAGTCCAAACAGGAAAAACAGGAGGGGAAACCCGCTTTTTCCGTCCCCGGGCAGGGAGCAGTGTTCCCCTCCACCCCGCTGTGCCACATCAGCATTCCCGCAAGCTTTCCGCAGGCACACCGGGGGGGCTTAGAAAGTAAAAGTGAACTGCATAGAGCAAGCACTAAAATGGGTTTATTTGCTCATCTTGAAAACTAATGTCTTCACTACTAATACGTTTCAAATATTACAGAGCCTGCTTGTTGCCTAATTATTGACTAGGCAACAAAGCAATACACCAAAGCGGCGCATCCCACAACCATGAGCCACCGAGACAACCTCCGTCTAAACCCGTAGTACACACTACTATAATTTATGTTAAGTAAAGACTACAGAGACAGATAAAGAACCTATTTTCTGTGGCTACTCCGAAGCATATTTCGTGTGGAGCCTCTGAGATTGCAGGCTAATGAACAGTTCAAAAACCAGAAATTGGTGTTCTACACGCTAAACTTCTTCCGATATAGGTCAAGAGAAACATATTCGACAGACACAGTCCGGTCATCAAAGAGTCGGCCATGTAAACAATGTGCAGCCATGGAAGAAGCTTCTGCTCTTCTATACTCTATCAGAACACAGCCCGGCTCGAAGATTTGGTCGAGATTGGTTTCACTCTCTTTTGCTTCTTCATTTTCATCCGAAGCCTCTAATTTTTTGTGGCACTCGCTTAATTGTTCTTTGACCTCAAGCTTCACTGCTGAACTCGAGCTGTCGATTCTATTGATGATTTCTGGTTCGTCCTTTGGGGGATTCACACAGTCGGTTCCAGAACGTGCCACTGAACTTTCAGTCTCTGGTTTACAGATTCCAAGTTTTTTAAAATTTTCTGCAGGTGAATCCTCGATATGATTCTCGCTGGTTACAGCTTTGCTGGCATCTTCATCACCCTCAGAACCATTTGATGGTTCGATTATGCTTGGTTTGTCATCATTAATCTCGGTAGGGGAATCACTGTCAATTGCTTTGACAGGTTCTTTCATCGAGGAACATTCGTACTCCTTTACGAAATTAATAGATTTCACTGTACCAAACCTGAGGAATCAGATAAATTACTGTTTCAGAAAGTAATGGGAAGGATGAAAGCTGATGGAATAAAAGTCAAGAAGGTGGTATAGAAATATGGACCTAGCACACTCTAGCCTTATATCGTCCATAATTTCTTCAAGTTGTTGCTCTGACAATCCCTTCGGATCAAACTGTGGATAAGAAGGAAGAATGCAATACTAATCAATTCATTAAAAGAGCAGGCTAATGTTCACAGAGAAAGAGAATACAGCAAGAAAAATGTAGAGAAGTCTCCGGACATGAAAAAGTGGAAAAAGTAAAGATAAATAGGCATACCACATTTTTCAGCTTCAGCACTTTGGTGGGACTTTCTAAAAGAGGCTTAACATGCTCAGGTATCCCATAGAGAGGAGGTTTCTCAACATTTTCCTGAAATATACATATTGGCTAATGAGACATTTGCACTATGCAGTGGGGATATGCTGAAGAGGAGGTAGTGTAACTTCTTGTTTTCTGAAGAGAATCGAGGAAAGAAGTACCACAAGGGAAGAATCTGGAGTAGCTTGAACAACTGTTAGCACTTTTCCACCCAACTTCATTCCATTAAGGCCAGCACAAGCTTTAGCAGTTACTGAATGATCAACATACTGAAAAAGAAAGTAGAAATAAATGATCAACGATGAAAGTAAAAGATCAGATGGAAACACAAAACAATCATGGAATATAATCCACTTCAAGCCCACATAAGAAAGTGCTAAATTAAGCTACCAGGAAAAGATATTGAGAGTAATTATATAGTCTACTAACGTTGCAAACTGTAATTATATCTTGTTTGCATATTCCCATAGTGTAAACCTCCTAATCCCAAGAAGTAGCCTAATGTGAATAAATTAATCGTGTCAAAATTTGAGTTCGAGAACACTTACGCTTTACTCCCCTTTCAGGTTTCAGTTCATAATTATATAAAAAACATAAATTCTTGCTTCTCTCACACATGAGAGGCCCCAACTTTCTAATTGTTGGTAGTATCCCTGGTTTTGGTCATGGAACCGACATCTGGCACCGAGCCTGACATCTCGTCCAGATTACATCCACGGTAAATTTTATTCAACTCTCTCCATAAAACCAGTAGAGCATTATCAAAGTATATACCATAAAATAATCTAGTAGGGAGTAAGAAAGAATAATTAATCATTTAACCAATGAAAGAACAGAAGGATGATACCTCAAGAAAAGCGCACGGTTCATTAAGATCTGCATTCAACTCAAAGTGATATGCTTTCAAATGTCCAAAGGATTTAACAATCTCCATAAGCTGGAATAGCAGCATAAAATTTATGCCCTCCGGCACATGATGAAAAAAGAAACTAGAAACGTTATTTAAAATAAATGTTAAGATTATTTCTCTTACCATATCAGATGAAATGACTTCGGAGATTCCACCAACAAAAATCTACATCATGTAATAAACATTGTTGGAAAAGAAAAAAGGGATCAACAAAAAAATAGACTATCATCAACAAAATATTCAATCCAAACACATTATGTAGAACGCCATCAAGACCTAGAGAAGTATCAAGTAAATGACTAAATGACAAAGAAAAAGGTGCTTGTGTGACAGAGTTGATTGGAGCTAATCAAATCCAAAGTGCACTAAATTGGACAAACGGGGTTTTAAACTAATTTGGTTTAATATAGAGTAGATAAGAGGCAATTCATATCTTTGGTAAGAAGCTTCAAGTTAAGGTAAAGCTATTTGTTAAAAAAGATGATCGTGTTTACTGAACCCTATTTTTCAATAATTACTCACTTCCAAAAAGCATTTCTGGAACTGTTACCTTTTCCACCGAATAAGATATTCCCATAGAAAAAATGCCTGGCATCTCTTTCAGCCACATGTACTATACTCGAAAAGAAAAAGAAGACGAGAAACAATTGCCTTAAGGCCAAATAAGAGAGTAATTATAAGAACTAGACAGGGTCCCTAAAGGAACCCAATGGCATATGTGGCATCTATGATCATTGTCCCATTCAATTCATTGTGGAGCCTGCTTTGTATAGAAATGAATGGTGATGACAATTGACGATGCCACATGCGCTATTGGTCTCCCTGACGAAACCTATCCAGCTCCATAAATTTGTCAAAGAAGACAAAGCATATGCAATGTGCAAAAGCCATGGCATGTCCGTAAGAGATAAAATCGTGGACACTTATAATTAAAAGTTAAAGACTTGTAAATACAGTACATATCATGATTTGAATGGAATTCCTTGACTCCAAAAGTATATTGTGAAATACCACATTTTTGAAGATGCACAAATTACACTCATCTACAATTTTTGGAGATCCGCAAAGTACATTCATTAACTAATATAGCTTCTATAGTACACTGGAATGATGGGCGCATACCTTATAAGGTGAATCCATTACAGCATCGCTTATCCTATCAACAGCAGCCTGTGAATTCTCTGCAACACCAGTCTGCATGAAAATAGCAACTGTCTGAAAACCTGCTACATGAATAGTAACCACAACAAACCTCAGAACTTGCATATTATTAAAATAAAGTCATTAAGTCCACATGTAAGATGCTCAAAGCCCGAACACAAGATTAGACAATATGCTTAGGACTAGGTTGAAAGCTGATCACTTAAGAATTAAGACAATTAGCACTTTAGCAGTTTATGAATTAGCCAAGGGTCTAACAGAAACCATTTTTATAGGGGAAGGTTGTGTACATCTTGACCCCCTAGACCCCAACAGAAGTAGGATTACACTGGATCTGTTGTTGCAGTTGTAGCTTGTTACAAATTAGACATTTTTGTCAACTGAACATAGAATTTAAAAAAATAAGATGCAGCCAAAGCTTATATCCATATATAATGGCCATTGAGATGGACAAGAAAACAGTAAACAAACTTATCTCCTCTCAGTGACTCAGTCACCACATTCTAAGCAAAGTCAAGATTTTTCTTATCCGCTAGAAAATATAGGAGCTAAAAATAAATTATGTGAACATTTGAACAAGCAGCTGAGGCCACTTACAAAGAATACGAACTTTTCATTAATTGAATTGAATGAAAAGAACATAGCTGGTTGTGCACAAACAGAAAGAATATGGACTTCTCATTAATCCAGTTAAATGAAAAGAACGTAGCAGGTAGTGCACAAACAGAAATTATGAAGGCATTTATTGACACAATTCTTACTCCCAATTCAATAAAATCTTTAGGGCGCCTGATCTTAAGAATCGAACCACTGAATGATCTCCCATCAAAGGAAAGTGCAGCAGAGGCATCCTCAGGTGTCAAAAATTCTAGAAGGCCTTGGGCCTTCTCCTTGTGTATCTGCAACCAATAATGATATGTCAAATCAAATGTGTTAACGGTGCTACAATTCTATGAACAATAAATTAAAATAGAAACAAACGCACCATACAGCTAATGCAGGGTTTAGTCCCTTGAATACGGTTGACGCCTGAAGACAGCAGAAATTTATTAATGCATTCCATAACATCTTTATCAGACACTGAATTTGGCAAGTTCTCAACATAAAGTGTTCTCATAGGCCGTGTTGCTTGCGTTAGCTGGATTGATTCAACAGCATGCACTGGTGAAAGGTAACTATTTTGGAAGAACATGGCAGATTTGGTTGCAAACAAACTACCAGTAGTCACACCAAATGACCCAAGAGTTTTCATTGATACAGACTGTGCAGATGATAGCACACCCGAAGCTACTGGAGCAGGAAGATTTCTCTCTGCTGCTGCAGGTGGGAGATCCCAGCCAGCAACTCTCCTTTCTGGTGAACGTTTAGTTGGAGAAGGAGTTTTTGCAGCAGCTGCAGATTTCCTCTTCCGTGGTGAATAACCACCAAGCCCACTTGTAACTACCGAATGCCTCTTGAAATGACTAGTATCACCATTGTTGGATACCTTATTCTTATCATACTCAGAGTTTGATCTTCCTGATTTATCTTTTGAAGGGTGTGAGTAGGATTCCCCATGATTTTTTGAGTCATGTGATGAATGTTTATGTGCCTTTGGAGAATGTGAGCGGGACTTTCTGTGTCTGTCTTTATCATGCTCTCTGCTCTTTGAGCGTCTTCTTTTTGGCCTGAGTTCTTCATAATGAGATCGCTTTGAGTCCTTCCTCTCTGGACGATCAAAGACTCTTAGTTTTGCTGAATCATGCTTTTTATGTGCACTGCTGTCTTTAGTTCTCTCTTCACCTTCTTTTGGGTGTTTTCTTGTGCTTTCCTTTTCAGATTTTTCTTTCCTGTTGTCTTTATAGCAATTTGTACTTCTATGATTTTTTGAATGTCTCTTTTCAGTTTCATCCACAGAAGCCACATTTAGCAACTCATCATTTTTTCTCTTCATGTACAGATGTCTGCTGCGAGAGCTGTCCTTATCATGATGAGCTTCTTTTCTTTCCTTCTCATATAACTTAACACTTCTATCAGCCAACTTCCTGGATGGGTCATTTGCATTGCTGTCACCAAAACTTTTTCTGGAACCACCATGAGAGTTAGAAACTTTTTTCTTCTCACCGTGAGAATCTTTATCAATGATGTATCTGCTTATATTTTTCCCACTTGTACCAGTGCTAACTGCCTCTCGTTTGGTTTCTGACTCTCTATGTTCTTTCTCTGCGCATTTAAGGAATTTACTTTCCTTATCACTACCATCTTTTTTCCTTGAACTTAACAATTGAGAATCCTTTGAATTATGACTCACACTACTAGCCATGGAAACATCACGACTTCTATCAGATTCCAAACTATCAAAAGTCCTCACAAATTTTTCTCTACCAAATGCAGCTGCACCACCAGCAGAACTATCCATTAGTTCAGCAGTACCAGTCTTGTTCTTCCTTCTAAGCATAATTTCATCAAAAGTGTAAGGTCTCGTCCGAGCTGAAGTTCCCTCATCGTGATTACTCTGAGATGAGGCAGTATTGTTTGCATTAAACTCTTTTTCATGACTGAACATATCCATAATTCTTTCAGTATGCCGAATTATAATTAAAAGTTTCCAACAACTCAAAATGTAAAAGTCGTTAAAATGAAACAGTTCCAAAGAAACTCCATTAGTTAATGATGGTGGAAGTAGGAACTCCACTGAAATTCTTCAATCCATAAGAAAAAGCTGCATCCAAGATGAAAAAAATGTTTACTATTGTCATGGTCTTCTTGACAAATCAAAACAAATTGACAGATAATTTTGAAGGAATAATTCTAGAGTTCCACAGAAATAAACAACGCAAACCCGTATTCGAATTACTGTTGTTTAGTTTATCTGGATACCAATCACCTACTAGTGTAGTAACTGTACAAATCAAATCATCCTTATACTTTAAATGGAGTAAATCCCCATTTTCAAACACAATACCTCTAAATCCAAAGCATGTTACTCTAAGAAAGCATCATCACCATTTCACCAAACTTCACCTTAAGTAAATCTAGGGCATGTTACAGTTTTCTTAAAGCAGATGTTCCAAAAACTACATTCAGCAGTAAGAAAGCAATGTTCAATCTTTTCTGTACAATTTCAAGTTAATAATCTCTAGAAACGGGGATGCGTAGCACCATATTCAGCAATCTCTTTCCAATAGCAATTAATATACCAAAAGCATAAATCCATTAAATTCGTAGAAAATTTACCGGATGATGTAGTTTCATTTCCTTCAATCGTCTGCTGGAGCCTCAATTTGCACCGTCATTCAGAAGTGCAGAAAGAAATGGAAGATGGAGGATGGACGAACGACGGCCGGTGGTGGTAAAGAGCTGATCAATGAATTAGGGCTTTCAAATTAACATAGTAGGCTTCTTTTTTGCTTTCAAATTGAGTAGATGTTTTTTCATATAAAATTGGTCAAAATTATTTATAAATTATTTTCAATTTATAAGTCCAATTATTTTTAATGTACAAGTCCAATTTTTCTGTGCATAAGAGCATCTCCAACCACAATTGCTAAACATGGCTTGCTAAAGTCATTTTTTAGCATGTAAAAAGATAGCAAGCCATTTTGCATTGTTATCTCCAACCTTTCCTTGCTATAATTTAGCTAACAATTATATTATATTGTTTTTACTATTATAATACACTCTTTATAATAATTATTCAATTTTATTTTATATTATAAAAATTTAGTAATAAGTATGTAATTTAAAAATAATAATTTTGAAAAACAATACGGAATATTATTTTACATATGTACTTTAGGGAAAATAATAAAATATACGGAGTATTATTTTAAATATTTAATAAATACCAATTAAAGAGTAGAGAGAAAAAATTTACAAAAACAAAAAATTAGAGAGTAGAAGTAACTTTATATTTTGAGAAGGAAAATGAGAGAAAAGAAGAGAGAAATCATATATTTAATCAATTTCATGGTTTGCTATTTTTTGAGAGGCCTGTTATATATAACAAGTCAAAGTTAAAATTTACCAAATATGCTATACTATAGCAAGCCCCTTGGAGCACAAAAATTGAAATAGATTGCCAAATAATAACATTTAACAAGCCAAAACTCAATGGTTGGAGATGCTCTAAGTAGCTATCACATATTGTGAGCTACTTAAAATAATCAGTCAGCTTCTAATTGATTTTGTTCGCTCCTCACTTACTTCTCATCAAGCTTCCCGTAGTCTTCTCAATTGATTTGTCTCAGGTACTCAGTACATTCAAGTTCTCACACTGTCACTGAAAATGTAACATCTATAATTGATCCGACCAAAGAGCTAATTCAGAGAACTAAAAGTTTATTAGTGCATGGGAAAAGCTCTGATCTTACCTCGACGATACTCAAAATCAAAAACATCTAAAGGAGTAAGTGTTGAATGGGACGAAAGAGTGATTTTGTTGTTAAAAGAATAATGTATCTTTTCCAAAATATCATTAGACGACATACTACCTTCGTCCCATAAAAATATTCGCATATTTGAATTTTACTGAGTGTAAGATAAATGAAAAAATGGAATTAAAAATTGTTAATAAGAGAGAAGATTCTCTAAGCCACATATTTTATTCTTAAAAAGAAAGTAAAGTTCGTGCAATTGAAAAATAAAAAATTGAATATACTACAAAAAGGAAATAAAAGATGAATATAAATTACAAAAGAAAAGTGTGCGTGTGTAAGAATGATTCGCAATGAAAGAAATGAGAATGTATACAATCCATTCAAATCCTATGAAATTTTCATTGTATTTACCCAACCTCGAGCTAAGTCATCGATTGTTCAATATTTGGTATGAGAGAGGGTAATTTGGAAAATTTCAAAATCTGTGAAAATGATCTTTATGGGAGATGATTATTCAACGCGAGAGTTTTAGCCACATGAGTCGTAAGTGCGCATGAATATGATGTGACAAAATACAAGGCCATCACTGCTCAATGTGTCGAATTACTATTATTAAAAGGAATTTAATGCAGATATTCATGCAAATCCAATTATTTTCATCTATAACTAGTCATCAAACAATGTGACACTTCACCCGTGATAAGTGTTGATGGAGTACCCGAGGCCAAGCCGGTTGATCAATATACAAAAGAGGACACAAAGAACGTTTGACAAAATGTGAAAACAATCAACTATCTTTATTATGTCATGAATGAATGTCGATGACTATCGGAATATGTCTCGTTTTACAACCGGAAACGAAACGTGTAACAAATTAGAGGTTACATATGAAATAACAACGTTCATCAATAATGCAAAGATCAACATGTTTGTTCGTGAATATGAACTATTCACTATGAAAAAGAACAAAAAAAAACTAAAGACATGATTGATGGATTTTCCGACATTGTTAACAATCTGAAATTCTCGAGAAAAACTACACCAACAAAGATCTCATCCGAAAGATCTTACGAAGCCTCATGGTTGAATGAGAACTTAATTTCAACGCTATAGGATTTTGATGTCATGATAAACAACGACATAAGAGATAATCTTACTACATATGGAAACTAGCACTAATAATTTTCAGAAATTTGTTAAATATAGAAGAAAAGGACAGTAGATCTAAAAAGCACACCATCGAAAGATGACGATGAAGAAAAGGACAATAGATCTTACAAGTTTGTTTGAGTGTGCAAGAAGAACTCGAATCCATCATGCATTACGGTTGTCATGCCAAGGAGTTGATTGTATCGCCGAAGTGGCATATAGTGTTTAAATTGTTAAAGAAATGTGTTGTCATATGCATTACACGCTCACACTTTCTATCTAAGAGTTGTAATTGTCAAAGAGTATACAATTTCTCTACATCATCCCGCTCTCTATCATATTTCTTTGAGATGGTTGTAGAGTGCTTATTGCTCTTCATAACCTTACAACACATTGATAAACAAACCAGCAATTCTTAGAGAACAAGAAAATCACATTTGGGAAGGGGTAGCAGAAGTTGGAAATGAACACTGGTTTTACTTGTTTGCCTACTTTTCTCTTGCTTGCAGGTTGGACATCATATGCTCTGATTTCTACAAAGGCAAAAGAAAAAACCAGTAAAAGTCAGGAAAGATGACAAATAGCCAAACACCATGAGACTAGGCTAAACCAAACCAAACAAACATGTAAATCTCGCTAAAGAGAAGAGTCCCAAAGTAAGTGACCTGCTCGGTATAGGGCAAGTACTTCCCATTGAAAGTCACAACAACACGATCTTTTCCATCCACGCCTTTTACTTTGTCAACCGAGCAGTAGAAGTCTATAGCTGACATGCTAAAAATCAAAACCGAAATTAAATTGATACTAAAAGGAGCATATCAAAGTGGGAAAACATATCCACCTCACTTACACAACAAACACAACAACAAATCCGCTATTATCCCAACTTCATCGGTGTCTGGGGCTTAAGATGTACGCAGTCTTACTCTTATAGATATAGAAAGGTTGTGTTTATTACCCCAAGAAAAGTTGTACGCAGTCTTACTCTTATAGATATAGAAAGGTTGTTGGGCTTAAGATGTACGCAGTCTTACTCTTTGATGCATTGCTGCATTTATTACCCCAAACCTCATAGAAAGTAAGAAACAAGAAAAGTTTAACGTGTTTATCTATCGAAAAAACAAAAAAAAAGAGTTTTCAAAAATGACTCTTTTAGCTCCACTGGCAGTGGACACATATATCCACCTCACTTGGGCAGCTAAAAATGAAAAGTTCAGTGAGAAACGTTGAACATCAAATCAAGAAACTCACATGCCATCTCCAAATTCCTCATTAATGATTTCCTTAATGCTCTCCCCAAAATGCATCGCAGCTTCATTCAATCTGTTACAAGCAAAGGCCAAATAATAGAGTGCACATTAAGAAAAGTGAAGAACTGCTGCTCTGGAATTCAAAGATGCTATTTTGACACTTGCTTTTCTTGAGATAGATGAAGAGCAATATTGAGATGCTATCAAAAAACAAAAATGAGTAATTCTTGAGATACAACAATAATGACACCATTTTTTACACCAAAGAAAGAGTTTCACAAACATATTATGTCAGTGAACAATTTACCAACATAAGACTAAAATATGGAATTTATACCAAAATCTACTTAAATAAGACTAAAACCCAACTAAAATATGGAATTTATACCAAAATCTACTCAAAGCCAAACACAGTCGATGACAATGAGAAACAAAATTGTCCGATAAATCAAAGGAATCGAGGGTAAAAAGGGTGACCTGTAAACACATGGGTCTTGAATTATAGTGGGATCATAGGACCGCATCGGAGGGAGCATCATTTCTTGAAGGTGTTCATCGGTCAGAAACGGCAGCGCCGCCCGGAGCTTTGGGGCAGTCTCCGGTTTGAGCTGGGCCTGGCGCTTCAGAAGCTGAGCTACATAGACGTTTGTCAAGCCGGTTTCCGCCGCAATCTGATTGTATGTCTTGCCGGAACTCCGCCTCGCGGCTTGTAGCGACGCCGCCAACCTCACACTGCTGCTGTGTTTATCCATAACGATTGGAGAGCGAATAGAAATGGCCTTGACTACTTTAAATGGGAAATTTTTTAGGCTGACATATGATGAAATAAATAAAAGAGTAATTCTCAAAATCATACTCCCTAATCAATAATTATGTATTTTCTTAAATTACTTTTCAAAGTTAATTAATTATCGAGATCTATTCATTAATTGAGAATAATGCTTAATTAATAAGTATCATCTCGGTAATTAGTTAATTTTAGAAACTAATTTAGAAAAACACATAGTTATTGAAAATCATTTTTGGAATCTGCTCTAAATAAAAAAATATCTATTTGTACTCCAAAGATTATACTTTAAAATATACCTGAAAAGTTTAAGAATTACATTTCATGTCAATCAATGTAAGTACAAGATTGATGTCTTAAAAATTTATGATCACACTGATATTTTGTCTCAATGTAATTTATCAGGCTTTCACATAATGTACATCATGCTTTGAACTTCGTTAAATTCTTACATAATCCTAAGGTTTATGCTCATTTTATGGATCTTAGTACATTGATATCATAAAAAAATTGGGGTTTTTGTAAAAAAACCACTTCTGGTCCATGAAAAGTGAGAAAAATTTCACATTTCACATATGGACTTTAGAACCACGGAGGAACAACTCTTCACATACAATCATTGAAGTACAACTAACAATGATATCTACTTGAGGAAGTGTACATCATGCTTTGCACTCACACAAAGATTACTATAATATCAACATTTTGTGTCTATAAATGTCAGTATAAAGTATGATTGACATGAAACCTATATCTTACATAACGGGAAAAATAAAATACGGAGTATAAAATTTAATCTTATTAATTCATAGTTTCATACTATCTTTATTCTTGAATAGTTGTTCAATTTTGACTTTTTAAGTAAAAAATTAACCAAACAGATTGTAAATCCGAAGCTTAAAAACTGAAGTTATTTTCAAATCATTTTATATGAAAAATGATGTCAAATTTAAAAATAAAAATTACATAGTAAAAAACTATATCAAAAGATCTACAAAACTAGAGGTGGCATGACTATATTATTTTATCAAATGGGTGACGAAAATAGGCCAACAAAGTGAATAAAGTTTGACCATGTGAATAGTGAACGAGAAGTTTATTTGGGTGACGAAAATAGGCCACCATGTCATTTGTATTTAATTATATCTCAAAAGTCAATGCTAATTGACTCAATGGTGTTATTGAGTTTTTTAAGCACATACAATGTTTCGTTGATAAAATTGATTATTACCTTTCTAATACTCCTGACCTCCCAGCCCCACCCCCCTGCTGTCCCCTTCCTTCTCGCTTCTTCATCGTTGTTTTTCTATAGTACTATTATTGTATGAAAACGCAAAGATGAAATGAGGGGCAGTAGGAAGGAATGGGGGTTTGGGACATTGGGCGGGGTTAAAAGAGCTCAATTTGGTAAACGGAGCATCATAAGTGCCCTATTTCCCATTTATGTCTACCTTTGTGATTTAAAATGATGTGCTTTTGTGGAAAAAAAATGCATCCATAAATATGTCATTATTTATTCCACCATGATTCCAAAGTCATTGGCCTCAATTAAGGTATTTACAATGTCTAGTTCAAGAAATTAATGATTATTATCATCTAGCTCTCTTGATAAATTTTCTTCTCGCCCTATCACGAGTCCCTACTACCCACCCATCCACGCACTACTCCCTTCTCTTTAATTGCACCACTCAGATTTATCTAACTTTGAAGTCAAATATTTTGATCCAAAAATCAACTAAATTTAGGGTGTGAAATTGTAATGGTGATATTTATTCTCTATCAATAACAATTGTAATAATAATCATATGAAAAATGCATGTAAATTAAATAATTTTTCATCCATGGTTGAAAGTAATTGAAAAAAGTGGATATGAATTTTAATAAAGTTGAAAAAGATTGAAACAAATTAAAAGTTATCTCCCAAATAAACACAAAGTAAGCTTATGCCTTTGACCATCCGCAAAATCTTTCAATTATACCCAAATTTTGGATTTTAATACATAAAATAGTTATAGGTGTTAGACCTCGTAAAAAAAATTAACTATGAGCTTATAAAAAAAAGAAGATTTTCAGTTTCTTCTATGCCTTGCCAAAGCTCCACGCCTCCTGCTCGAATATCAGTTTTACCTTCGGACGAAGCAAATTAATTAAGTAAGTTGTTCATAATTATTACAATAATTAGCTTTACAAAAAGATCCATATATAATCCCTATATAAACCCCCACCCTCCCCACACTGTACAAATTAATTAATTACCGAGTAATATATATATATATCTACTTTAATTTATTCGTTGGTTTAGTTCTAATTACTTTTTGCAATAAAAAAAAAAGAAAAGAAAGGAGAGATATATAGATATATATATACACACACATTTATATATCGATCAAGCATGTTTATTAGAGTGTTAGGGCCTTTGGCACATTCATTTGGGATCTTAGCTTTCATTCTAATGCTTGCTTGGCTTTTGTGTTTTCGGGGTGGCATTGATCTCTATTCCGCCCACCATCCAAACAAGATCTTGAATGTACGTTTACCAACCCTGCAAATTCTTACGTGTTTGTAAGGTGCATTTAAATCTTCCGACGTGACTTACTGACTTGATAAGTTGTAGACTTGTAGCGCGCTTCTTCTTTCACAATTTTTTTTTTAAATTTTAACTTTTGGGAGGAGAAGTCGTGGAAATTTAATAAAGACACAACAATGATAAAGGAATTGAAACGAGCAGGCTTTAGGAAATATGGGAATGAGAAGGACATAGAAGAGGGTAAGATAGGTTAGGTTAGATATAAGAAAAACAAAAACCTTTAAGTCCATTTTTAGTCCAAAGTAAGATATATTTTGGGATAAGTAAAATGTAAATGAAACTATTTTGTGGGTTGAAAGGAGTATTAACTAATATTCGGATTAACATTTCCTCCCCCTCTCTCTAATTTACAAAGTTTGACTACAAATTATAAAAAAAAGTATATATGGAGTAGTAAATCTTGTATAATTAAGTGTATTTTAAAGTATAGTTTTCATATTTCATTGTTATAGGATTTATTTATTTAAAATATATGCTCCGTATTTATTAATGATCAAAGTGTGTTGTACTTTGACCAAAAAAACAAGCAGGGCAATCTATTTGGGGACGAGATAAATATTTGATTAAATTTTTAAATTTGTTTCATATATATGAGGGTGGGTTTATCCATATCCAAGGTGCCAAAAATAGTATCTATAATGCCAAACAATTTCAAAATATAATGACAAAAAATATAAAATGTTAATACTCAATGGCAAATTATGAGTGTTTGGCAATGTCAACAATACTTTTTTTAGAGAAAAATGAAACAGATCGATTTTATTTTATTATAAATTCTATTATAATTTAGTTATATTTGGATAGATTTTTTATGAAAATAAATGACACTTAGTTCTTCGGGCTGCAGGTTCACCCGTTTCTCACGTTCTTCGGGTTCATCTTCATTGCCGGCGAAGGTATGTATATATGGACTACATCAATGGTTGATTATGATTGACTCCAAAAAAGCAAAAACTAGACAAACACTCTAGGACAGATCGGAGAGAGTATGTTTGTACAAAATGATTAAAAGAAAATCATTTTGTACTCTTTAGTTCCTTGAATATATTGCACTCAATAAATACTTTCTCCGTCCAAAAAAATTTATCTTTTTTCATCCATCCAAAAACTCTTTCTTTTTCATTTAGATTCAACTATTTATCCCATATCGGAAGTTGAATAAAAAAGTAATCGATATATAAGCTCTTGATCGAGTTGAACTAAGTAATCGATTGGATTCAATCTTTTAATGTGGTAAATACTTCATACGGACAACTGGGCTAAAAACAAATGGGCCGCTAGAAATGAACGTCTAGACTGACACCTTGACAAAGGTGGTGGGCCAAAATCTGCTTTGATACCATGATAGAATTTAGGATGGGGTAAGGATAACTGGATTGGTTAATAAGACACTTGGGGTGAACCACATCAAAAGATTGAATCCAATCGATTATTTAGTTTAACTCGAGAGCTTATATACCAATTATTTTTCTATTCAACTTCCGAGATGTGGGATAGACTCTAACATATACATACACACATACACACACACAGATATATATGTGTGTGTGTGTGTGTGTAATGGTTTGACTCTAGTCAAATGACATGTTTCGATGTTTCGGTGAGATGACACTTTCGGTCGGATGGCATGCTTCAGAATGAGCACCACCTTATTTAAGAATGAGCACTACGTTGTTTCAGAATGAACACTATGTTGAACAGACTGGAAATGAGTACTATGTTGTTCCAGAATGAGTACTACGTTCATAATGAATAAATGTGTGAAAATGAACCCTACGTTGTCATTTGACTGACTTGAAATTAACACTGTTGTTTCGAAATGAACAGTACGTTGTGATGAATAGTTGTGTGAGAATGAACCCTGCGTTGTTTCTGAATAAGCAGTACGTTGATTCAGAATGGACCATACGTTGTCATCTCACTGAAAGTGTCATCTGACCGAAGTCAATCCCATGTATGTGTGTGTGTAACACACATAATTAATGTATGGTGTGAATGAAGAAATGCATATATGTTGATGTGAGCAGCTATGATGGCATACAAGACAGTGCCGGCAAGCTTAGAAAGAGGAACTAAAAAAACAGTGCACCTAATCCTTCATTTGATCGCCATCTGCATGGGCATATTGGGAGTCCATGCAGCTTTCAAGTTCCATGATAAACAAAACATAGAGGATATGTATACCTTGCATTCTTGGATTGGCATCCTCACTTTCTTCTTCTTCCCCTTGCAGGTTATATATCATCACAATTCCCTCACCTCATTTAATTTCTTTCAGGGCCGTTCTACGTACTGACCCACCACGGGTGTCTAGCTCCACATACCTTGCACAGACGATAATCATTTGTGCATGTCTGTGCATAGAATAGGGGCACCCGTTCCGTGTTACATACCCTACCTTTATTGTTATTTTCATAGAATAACTTACAACAACAACGAGAACAACATTACACGACCCCAATGCCTCAAAGGTTCCTTTCCATTGCACGGAGTCTCACGCTCTCTATGTTTACAACATAGAACGGATGTTTTGAGACGACTCATATTGAGCGTCGAAAGTTGCATTGACTAACTCATACTTCCTCTGTCTAAATTTAATTTTTTCATTTGAGTATTCATAGTGATCTTCAATGTAATATATTTTGACCAGTAATATCAATATTTATACATATTTTCAGGCAAACGCGAATATGATAATAATAATAATAATATTATAATAATAATAATAATAATAATAATAATAATAATAATAATATATCTTGCTTGATTTATTTTGCAGTGGGTAGTGGGCTTGATTGTATTTCTGTTGATGGCAAGAAAAGGAAGGGCAGAGTCAATGAGAAGTAGAATGAAGCCATGGCACATCACAGGGGGGCGGGTGCTACTGTACATGGCCATCTGTGCGGCCATGACCGGACTAATGGAGATGTCTCCGGGCGGCGGCCACTCCGGCGAATCAAAGTTAGTGAACGTGCTTGGTGTCGTTATACTCCTCTTTGGCATCACCGTTGATGTTTCTGTCGCTCATGGACTCCTCCTTCCCCTTTGACTTGCCTAGTTTCATTTTTTCTCTCTTGCAATCCTCTCTTTGTAACATGGGAGTTCTTCTTTTATAAATTAATTAATGATTATTTGTAAACCAAAAAAAAAAAAGTGGAACTCCCTCCGAGAGGCCCCACATCTCGGCCTGACAAGATAGTAAGAGGGATAAATTATGGTATAGTTTTAATCTGGTTCTTAAAGAGGTCACCTCGTGCCCGATGCGCAAATGGAGCTATTATACATAATAGAACTCCCACGTGTACTGTTGCTGCCGGGAACGATCTATAGGGCTAGCCCTATAGGCTACCAATGTGGGCATATATGATGGCCCATAGGGTGTGGTGTGAATGTGTGGTATTTGGTGTACATACTCTTAAATATTTCTCCTTCAATTCACGCTATTTTCCGTAGTGGAATTTACTCACAAGATGTTACCACGAAGAAAATGTAGTGAGCTTTTGTTTGTTTTAATTTCTTCTTCGTTACGTTGTTCTTCATGAGTATATCCTATTTCGATTTCTTAAAGTTTCACGAACAATACATCTCTTAAAACATATTAGCAAAAAAATATTAAAACTAATACAAGTGTTTTTTGATACCAATAATTTAGTAAAACTTTTACATTTAAATTTATTGTATATTTTTATGTATATAGTTAGTCAACCATGTGGAGGGAGTATTGTATATTTAATTTTTATATATAGTAAAATACAGTTAAATAGGAATGGAGGGAGTATTGTATATATGTTTATGTATAAGTTTCTTCTTTGACGTTGTTGATTGTTTGAAAACTGAAAATGCCTATGTGCTTAATTTTTGAGTAAAACGTTGGCCATGTGGCCCATGTGTGCATCTATTGTTATGTGATGAGGCTATACTATGTGGAAAAGTCACACTCAAATGTTATTGGTGTTTGTGTGCGATGAATGTACTATAAAGCTAGAGTATGTGTGTGATTCCCCTAACACTAATTATTTTAGGTAGCGCTTGAGTTCCTACAAGGTCATGAGTTTGATCCCCAACTGAAACTAAAGGAAGATTGTTGGCAATGAACGCATCAATTGTCTCGTGGCGGATATTATGTGACAAAGTCACACTCCAATGTCGGGTGCGCTTGTGCGTATTGAATAATGCAATATAAAATTATGGTATCCGTTTCTCCTAGCACCATGTGGTTTTAGAAGTGTTGTAAATTGTTCCTAAATTCTAGAGTAATCGGAAGACAGCTTCCCCCTCATGAGTAGTAGTTTTGTAGAAAATTACTTTAGAAAATTACTTATGGGTGATGCAGGTTTTGTTGAATAATTCTTGGGATCCTCATATTTTTAATAAGACAACAAAGACATTTACATTTTGTTGTAATGACTAGAAGGAGACATTCTATCCAATACTTCATTAATATGCATTAAAAAATGCCTCTTTCCTTGTTTTTCCAAAGACATTCTCTCACTTTTTGATTTCTGTATTTTTCTTTATTTTTTGTTACTCTTTTTTGAAACATTTTTTAAAAAAATTTCTTCTAGAAAATTATATAAAAAATTTAAAATTATTTATATGACATAAAAATAAATGTAACAAAAAGAAAAGACCGAGTAAAATTAAAAAAATTAAAAATAAAGTAAAGTTGTTTCCCTAGAAAGTCCTCAAGATTCTTCTTTTAATACGTTGTAGTATTAAAAATAAAAAAGAGATCTAATTTTCTTTTTAAAAAAGGTCCTTATTTCATTTATTTTTTTATATCATATAAAAATTTGAAATTTTGGAACTATTTTCTAGAAGAAACTTCAGTTTATGAAAAAAATGAATTAAAGTGAAAATAGAGAAACAAATAAAGGAAACAAAGAAACTAAAAAGTGATGGGTCTAAGAGTTATTATCATAAAACATTAAGGGCAAAATAGAAAAAACAGGCTTATTAACTCCAACAAATAAAGTATTAGATGGAATGTCCCCCTCTAGTCATCATAACACAAATTAAGGACTTCTCTTGCCTTTTTTGAAAATATAGGGACCTCAGAGTTATTTTGATAAAATATGCATCACTCGGAAATAGTTTTTTAATAGTTCTGTAGTTGTAATTTTTCTTTGTACTTTTTTTAATGAGTAAATTACATAAGAAGTCCTATTATAGTTCGTTTTATATATTTAGCCTATACATATTAAATATCAATGATTTAATCTTCAATTATTATATTTTTTTCACGGATGGTCTTTTGTTAACATTTCTGTTAAGAAAGTGGATAAGATTGTAAATTGACATTTCTTTCTCTCAATTAAGTTTCTTCTCTCATCTCGTTCTTCTTTCCCAAACCCATCCCTAATAAGGTTGATGCTCTAAATCCAAAATCGAAATTATCACTCATCTCTCAATTGTTCATCTTTCTGTTGGAACCCAGAATAAAAAATAGTAACCTTCATGGACGAGTTTTTAGGTTTGTTTTTTTGTAATTTCTTGACACTAACCCATAAAACTCATCCATGAAGGTTACTAATTTCAATTTTGGGTTTCATCAGGAAGATGAACAATTAAGGGAAGAGTGATCGTTTCGGTTTTGGGTTTAGAGCTTCAAACTCGACGACATGCTTGAGAAGGAGTACGAGGAGGGAGGAAGTTTAATTGAGGAGAAAGAGAAGTGTGAATTTCTAATTTTATCCACATTCTTAAATAAAATGTTAACAATGGACTATTCGTGAAAAGTTGTGCAATAATTAGGGACCAAATTATTAATATTTGATATGTAGTGACTAAATATGTAAAACGACCTATAACTGAGAAACTTTTATGGAATTTATTCTTTTTTAATTGAGTAGAACTTATCCTCCAACTGGGCCTTTTGAACGCCTATTTGATTGGGAGCCCAACTCACCCAACACACCCAGCCCATACAAAATTCTCTGAAGCCTTCTAAATCAAACTGCTTTTGCCTTATCATAATTTGCTTCTGAATGTCTCTTAGACAATTTGGTCCAAGATGCTCTCCAACTTTCATAAATGGGAGGACAAAATGAATCCCCATTACTCCATTCCATTCACTAATTTGGTCTTATCCATTATTGATAGTGTCAAAGTCAATATTCCTTATTTATATTGTTAAAAATAATATAAACAATTTTATTTCTTGTTCTTTAGACATTTTAATTTATTTCTTAGTTATATACATGGTGATTTTTTAAAAAAAAACAATTACACTGGTATTTAGATAAATTCAATTAATAATAATTCTTAGCGTAAATCAAAATGAAACAAAAACATCAAGTGGGAGAACAAAGTTTCACAAAGTTTTACATTTGAGAAGGAATGGAAAAAATTTGCCTAAACGGTTAAAACAACAGTGTACTGACCCCTAGAGTCGAGTTTTTTTTCACTTAGTTTTATTTAATGTTTCCTCTCTCCTTCCCGGTCCAATTGCTACCATTTTCTTTTTGGAATGTTTTGAAATAACTTTTAAATCTTTTTATTTTTCTAATTAATAAAAAAAGTGTAGTTCAATATATAATTTTTAAAATATAAATTTCAACAACTCATTTTTTCCAACACGTTTACATTTCTAAGATCCTGTTCTTTAGGACTGGAAAAAAAGAGCTGGAAGTTGGAAAAAACTGGAAGAAACTGGAAAAAACTGGAAGGAATTGGAAGGAATCGGAAAAAACTGGAAGAAACTGGAAAAACTTTAAAAAATTGAAAAACATAAACAAACTTTTAAAAAATTTATTTTAAATTCTTGTTGTTATAAATTATTATTATTATTATTATTATTATTATCTTTATTATTCTTATATTATATCATCATCATCATCATCACCACGTTATCTTAATAAATGCCTTTAAGATGCAAAAAAAATATTGTTATTTTTCAAATAAAAAACTACTTTCGCAAAAAAATAATTAAAATATAAATTTAGCATAAATATGAAAAAATTAATTTTTAAATTTTTTTGTGGTTACGTTGCACCTCAATTTATTTATGCAGTATTTATTATATATAATATATTTATAATTATACTTTATATATTACAAGATTTTGTTTTAAATATCAGACATGTCACATAATGTAATCAAACTTATTTTTTCTTTCATGATTGACATTTTATTTTCATTGAAGTCTTACTTTTGGAATAAAGACATAGAACTATTTTTTTACATTTTTTGTATTTTACTCCTATTTTAATCTTTTTCTCTAAACTATTTTGACTTGCAATTTTTTTATAAAAATTAGAAAAATAAGAAAATTTTAAGTAATAAAGGGAAAGGTGAGATGTCTTATATAAAGTTAGATTAATAAAACATTCTATGTCATTATTTTATCCATAACTTTTTAATGTAGTTTAACATATTCATGTTTTCGTGTTTTATCATGTAGATTAATATTCAAAAAATTGTCTTATTCATATTAAAAAATTAAAGAAAAAATAATGAGTGTGAATCGTAAAAATGTGAAATGAAAAGAATAATTTATAAACTATAGTTATAAACATAAAAGTTGTAATAATAATAATAATCACATTAAAAATATATCGTTTTTAGAGTAATTGGTTGGGGAGTAAAAAGAGTCTGAAGAAAATCAGAATAGTTGGTAGAAACTGGAGGAACTAGAAAAAACTGGAAGAACTGAAAGAAATTGGAATAAACTGGAAGTTAAGAGTTCAAGTCCTAAAGAAGAGGCTCTTAGGATAAATATAAGCCCAAACATGGTCAGCACAATAGAGTAAATATTTTTTCTCTTCATAGTATTTAGGCTGCATTCCGTTTGTTGATCTGATCTAATCTAATTTTTAAAAGTTTTGATATTGTCCTTTTTAACCTATGCTGATAAATTTTGACCATTAGCTAAATAAAATTTATGCCCCTCAGTCAGCAAAGGTTCTTCACATTTCACGGTCTCTTATATTGTACTTTGACTATTAATATCTATATTTATACATAGATATATTTTACAAAACATTGATATTTCAAAACTATGTCTCATTAGCAATATATTAATATTAAATTTATATCATAATACAATATACTTTTTCCACAAATCAGAGTCAAAGTTTTCAAACTTTGTACAAGAAAAGTCAAATGTTAAGAAAATTTATAGACCGAGGGAATATTATTAGATATTGATACCAATAATTATATTAGATTTATCTTGTATGATATTTTCAAAATATTATTATTTTATCTAATTAATCATGTGAAAGATGGATTCTAATTAAATTGACTACACAAAGTAAAAACTACTATCTCCGTTTGTATACCCAAACCTTCCATCTTTCATTTTCTTCTCTTTTTACCAAAACACTTTCACTTACAATTTTAAAAAAAAACTGTTTTTACTCCTATTTTTCATTATTAATATACCCATCACATCAAGGACAAAATTGGAAAATCAACTATAAATATACACTGTTTATTTCTTCTACTTCTTCCGTCCCCAATTTGATTACAATTTTTTTCTCTCCTCTCGATAACTTTTGTTTGTTTACGCGATTTCATTAATTTTTTGATAAAATAAAATACTCATGTCTCCTCTTATTTTGTAGAGACGTAGTTTTTTAATATGTACTTCTTAATTTTTATTTCTTATCGATATCCCAATTTGTAAATAAAATAATTTCAAAATGTGAAATATTTTTCCTCGAAAACCCTAATTTGTAATCTAAATAGGACTAAAACATAATAACTTTCTTAATATAGGACCATATGTTTTTATTTCATAATGTAGAACCATTAGTCATTATTCAACTAAATGTCCAGCATCACTTGATCATTATTCTTCTCACTAGTCATTATTAAGTCCTATTCAGAGAATAATAAAGTTTAAATCATATATTAGGAAATGACTTATGTTTTAGTAGCGAAGTTTCACATAGTTTTAGTAAAGGAAGGAGGGAGTAATAAATACTGGGGAAGGACGAAGTAATTCATTTTCCAAGCTGCGAGGTGGGAATTCTCCGGGGCAGCTGGGAGTGAATAAGGGATGGGATCCATCTATATAAAACGCCCACTCTTTACTATCCTTTAGCAACCCAAAGAATATATACTATATATACAAAACACACACACATATATACAGAGTATATATGTATACATATATATATAGCTTAGATATAGAATATGAGGAGAGTTGAAGAAGAAGAAGAAGAAGATGGGTACACAAAAGATGGTACCTTTGATCTTAAGGGTAACCCTGTCCTTAGATCCAAGAGAGGTGGCTGGACTGCCTGTTCCTTTGTTGTTGGTACTGTTCATTACTTATTCATATTTCTCTCATCAATCTTGCCTTTTCTTCAATAATTTGATGTTTAGTTAGTGGCGGATCTAGAAATTCAAATAGTTGGGGGCGCAAAAGGCCGGGTAGATTCAGGGGAAGCGCTTATCAGTACGAAAGTTATAAATTTTATTTAAATATTTTATGAATGTGAGTTTTTGAATTGAGAATTTAAAATTTTATTTTTTAAGATGGGTTCCTATGACATTGGAACCCCATGTCAGACCCAGGGCACTCCGGTGTTCTGTTCGTAAAATTGATAGTATCCTCCTGAATCCCTCGGTAACTCGAACACACTCCACACTCCCTCCAATTGCACCTCACAAGTTGATTTTGGCTTTGGAGTTAAATTTTGATTTGACATAAAAAATTTAAATAAAAAATTAAAAAATGTATGAATAAAAAAAATAAATATTTTTTAGGAGGATAAAAGAAGAAAAAGAAAAGAAAAAAAGAGTTCCTTTTTGGATAAAGCCATATGTACCCCGTACCCCACTTTGTACCTCGCAGCTTTGCACCAACACTTTGTGTTGGTGTAAACCTAATTTTTGTTAATGCACCAACACTTTGTGTCCGTGTAAATTTTTGTTAACGCACCAACACTTGTGTCGGTGTAAAGTATCAAAATGTTTGTGTATAACTACGGTGTACAAATGAGGTACAATTTGTGGTGCATGACCTTTCCTTTTTACATATCTCACCAAACAAAACGAGGTAATATGTGATTTGATAGGGATCGGAGTATAGGCCCTTTTTTTCTTTTGTAGTTGGGTGAGATATCCCCAAACAGACCCTTGATCAATAATTCATGAAAAAAAAGTTGGTGAAGTCAAAGTTATACTCCGCGCTTTACTCTTAACTCGACTTCAGAGACATCACAAACATGAAACATTATTTTATATTTGTGATATCTTTGAAAGTATTGTAGTCAAAAGTAAGACACAACTTGGGATTCCCCGGTTCTTAGCTTGGTTCATTTGGTTCGGGTTTAAGTCAACTCTATTAACTTTGGATAGACTAGTGTTTGGTGTCGTGTTGTTTCAATAAAATTTGGATTGGTCTGGGTTCAATTTGGAGTAGCTTGGTTTTTTGGTGTAATAAGAGCGTGTGTTTGGTAAGCACATGCTACATAAGTTCTATTAATGTCTACATATCAGAACTCTTTTTGTAATATTTGTTGGGGCCTAAAAAACTTCACATTTAATATCTCGAGATACCAAAACTCTCTTAAAAGATGAATAGTTTGATATTTCCCGAATATATGACATATCAATGTGATGATTTGATATTTTGCTCAACCGTTGACCACCTTCGCCACGGGCAAGTACTATCGTCGCCCGCCCGGCATTGCTCATTTCTGGTTGCTGGTCGTTCTTGTATAACACTAAAAATCATCACTTCAAATCTTTCTAAATAGATTCACTTCAAATTTTAGGACTTGTATCATTTCTTACGAATTTAAAATTTGTATCACATTAATTAATCTTCTAAAACTTATCAAATGGGTCATAAGTTTGTGCCTTTCGAAGATAATAAACTTAAGATTGGTCAATTCCGTGTAGGTCATTTCCAAGTTCATAAATTATTTTGGCTCTTTCAAATATCAATTTGGATTTGGGTATGGGTAAAATTCCAATTGGGTAAGGACTAAGGAGCAATAATATGTGATGATTTACCCCCATTCCATCAAAGTCCACGTTCCTTTTTTGAAGTGGAAGACAAACGTAGTCCTAGGACTTCTAGCCTTGCCTTGTTATGATGCATAATGTTTATGTCGAGTCGAGTTACAACTCTACCATGTTTGACATAAAAAATATGACATTAAATGTTTTACACGTACAAAAATTTACTCCGTATTGTTTATATGACATGCAGATAGCTAGCTATTGTTTGTCTATGTCTGTAAAATAATCAATATCAAAATTTGGTAAATTTCTATCATTTTTTAGTATCAAAATTTGTAGATTTCTAACATTTTTTTTATAATTTTAACTTTTGAAATATAGAATGAGTTTGAACGTGGTTTGGGGGTTCATCTAGTCAGGTCTAAAGGAACCCTACCTTGGAGATGGACTCATCTTTTTTTCTCAATCTTTATTTTAACTAAAGCAAGTCTAGAATTTAGACTTCTAAGTTTAATTTTTGGATGACCCTCTATTCTTGCCTAGATAGAATAACATTGACTTAAATGTGAAGACTTTAATTTAATAATTAGAGTAGATAATCAGAATATAAAATTAAAAAAAGTAGATTCCTATGTTGTATTCCCTATTTCCCACCATACTAGAAATATCGTCCGTCTTTACTACGGGGTATTATTTTATTTTTAATAATTTTTGTTTATTTGTATGTTTTCATAAATTATTAGAAAAAATATTTTTGTCATATCTTGTTTTATAGAACTTTGATGTGGTTGTTTTTTGGAAATATGTAATTTATATTTTATACTCCATCCGTTTTTTAAAACTCTTCTTCCTTCCTTTTTTTCACTTTCCTCAAAATACTTCCATTTTTTATTAAAAAACTACTTTTACCCTTACACATCAAGGATAAAATTGGAAAATCAAACATAAATATATACTTTTTATTTTGGCCTAAAGTCAAAATAAGAATGACTTTAAGAAACGGAGAAAATACTTTTAATTTTTATACCAATTTGTAAATAAAATATCTTTAATAGAATTGAGATTTTAAACGTCATTCGAAGTGAAACAATATTTTTAAGACAGAGGGAGTATGAGAAATTACCAAAGATATGAACAAAATATACATTTATCATCAAAATATAGGAGTGACATATTTTTCTCCAAAATAGGACTATTGCACACTAACATTGTTAGGGTGTTTTTTAAAATTATATGTTGTTATTCTTGATATTGCATGTCTTATTTTAAGAATAAAAACATGATTATCCTATTTTAGTCGTTTACTTATACTCCCTCCGTCCTATAAAAGTGTTCCTATTTTCACTTTGTGTAAAAATAAGGAAGTGTTACATTATAGTTGACTTCCAATTTTGCCCTTGAAGTGATGAATAAAAATAAGATGTGATGGATTGAGTATTAGAGAAAAAGTATGATGTGATAGGTAGGGTATGAAAAAGTAAGGGTAAAAATGGTTTTTTAATAGAAAGTGAAAGTATTTTATTAGAAGTAAAAAAAATAAAAGAGTAAGAGTTTTTGAGAACAGAGAGAGTAGTCCGTAAATAAGAGTGTTTGCAGTTTGCACTTTGCACTATAAAATGTCTGCAATTTGACATTACATTTTAATACTTCATTGTAATTTTTTATATTATGAGTTATATTTTGATACTCTCTCCTTCCCAAATTATAGTGCACGTCAACTATTCATATGGTCAAATCTTATTCACTATTTTCAATAATTTTTTCTATTTATTTTATATTGCGTAAAATAATACAGTTATTTCTATTTATTTTATGTACTTTTTAAATATGTAATTTCTTCTTGTTTCAAACTATTTTTTATTTATTTTTTAAATATGTAATTTTTATTTTTTAAACATATTTCAAAGGAAAATAATTTAAAAATAAATTCACTATAAATTAAAACGGATAGAGTTTAATTTCTCCTAAAAAATGAACAGTTCCCATTTACTCGGGTATAGGTGTAAAAATTGGACACTGACCGAGTCTAAATGGCAATGCCTGGTCTTTTACTCCACCATTTAACTTAAAAGTCAAAAGTGAAAACTTTAAAACGTTGTGGTAAAACACTACGTCTTTTTTTACTCGAGTTATTTTGATTTTAAAATGACGTCTCGGGTTTAACGATTCTTCGTAAGTAACCCTCATAGCACTTATACTAGTATAGAGAATGTTATTGGGCTGTTGTATCGATTTGATCTTTTTTTGACACTAATAACGTTAATTATTACAACGTAGTATATATTTATTCATTCTTCATTTATTGAAGCTTATAGAATTATTGTCCCCACCAAGAATCGAACACATGAGTGACAAGACCTCTCATTTGAGACAGTCATAGCGGTATCATTATACTATAAGGTCCTTGTCATATCATTTTGGTCCTAATTGTATGAAAAAACGGTTCATCACATGTTGTATAGTTATAATGGAAACTGAAAAACACATTATGTTGAAATAATAAAGAGAAAGTATTTCTTTATTGAATTGTCTTGTGAATACAAAAATCTAACCTCATTTATATAGGGAAGAGAGTAAAAGAAACAAAGAAATTCTTATTCCTACTAAAATAAGAATTAAGCTAACTAGGAAAGATACCAAACCGAATCCCACTGATCAACAGCAAATTTAACGGAACGACCAATAATTGTGCAACGCTAACGTGATTTGAAAGACTATTCGTGATATATATTATTAACTTGAAGGACAAACGGTGTAATTTAGTCCTTAATACCAGATGTTTCATGAATTGAGAAATTGTTGTTGTTTTTTTTTTTTGGTTTGAAACACAGTATATGAAGTGTTTGAACGAATGGCGTACTATGGGATCTCATCAAACTTGATCATATATTTGACCAAAAAGATGCATCAAGGAACTGTGAAATCTGCCAACAATGTCACAAATTGGGTGGGCACTGTTTGGATGACACCTGTCTTGGGTGCCTACGTGGCAGATGCCTTTCTTGGTCGCTACTGGACTTTTCTCATTGCCTCTGCAATCTATCTTTTGGTACGTACGTAAATGTTCTTTTTAAACAAGAGACTTTGTGTCTATTTTGGTACACGGAATTGAATTGGGAGATGAAATTCTGTGGAATCGATTTGTATGGAATTGAATTCTTCAATTTTAATTCATTTTTTGCACTACGTATTTCAAATCCACGTATTTTTGTGCTACCAAAATTTCAATTCCATCATTTGAATTTCATGTATGAAACGGGACCTATGTGTTTTATAGACGTGCACAAGGAATGACTCCCTATACATTTCTTGTGCATGTCTGTAAAACACTAAAACATATTGTGTCAAATTTGGTGTCGAAGGGGTTCTGAATTTCTTAACTTTAATTCCTCCCTCTTTCACCTCGTCTTGTCTTTAACAAATTGTGCAAACATCTCTCATTTGAGAGAGTCAAAACGGTGACATTGGACAATATCTTTAGGCCCCGTTTGGTAGACGGAATTCAAACTATGGAATTGGAATTGAAGAATTCAATTCCAATTCTCGTGTTTGATACCACAAAAATTATGTGGATTTGGAATTGGTAGTACAAAAAATGAATTGGAATTGGTGAAATCAATTCTATGGAATTGAATCCCATGGAATTATAATTCCAATTCAATTTCAATTCCATCAATTCTGTGTACCAAACGGACCCTTAGATTTCACATCGTTTATTTTTGTATTCCGTATTTTTATTGTTTAATATTTTTGAAGTCAAAGTGTCAAAGTCGACAATTTTGACCATCAATAATTAATAAGGGAGGCTTCAACTCATCACCAATCAGTCAATCACCATTTCAATCACAAAGAAATTAAAGAAATATTTTAGGAAAAAATAATGGAAGGTCCACAAAATTAGGTGAAGACTCACAAAAATTTTAACATAAAAATACTGAGGCAAACAAATCGAAAAACATAACACTTTCGAGACTCAACCCTAAGATCAGCAAGTTTGACATCCTCTTCTTGGACAAGTTGAGCTATTCATGCGGGCACGGTGGTTGACTTTAGAATTTAGACTAGTAGTTGAATTATTTGGATAAAAACTTGAATTAAGTTCACGTTTGTTTTTATGAGATATTCTAAATCAAATTTCATTTTCAATTGAGGAAAACTTACGTGGTTAATATTACTCCCTCAATCCCCAAAAACATGCCACAAATATTATTTCAGCCTCTCGACAATTTTTGTTTGTTTACTCGTTTTGGTTGACCATTTGATAAAATAAAATATATTCTTGTCGCATTTTGTTTTGTAAAACTTTTGATGTACTTTTGAACAATGTAAATTTTACCTTTTATTTCTCTACCAATTTGTAAAAAAAAGTAATTCCAAAAAAATGATATTTTGTGCGTCCTTCAAAATATTAGAAACTACTTGGAACAGTGGGAGTATTTAATTACTCTTTCATGTATCAAACTCAATCACATTTTTTATTTCCTAAATTTTGTAAAAACAAAATACTTAAACAACTTAAATAAAAGGATGAGCCACATGGCCCACATCCCCGAGGGCCTTCTCAGACCCAACCGGACGGCCAATGAGAGGAGGTAGTTTGGACTTTGATCGCAGATTGGTGACATGGAATGGAGCTTGCACTGCTTAGCATAGTTGTCTACTAGCGTAGTTGCCACGAATCAAACTCGGGTCTACCCCTTGGTACTCTCTATCTTTGCCAACTGTGCAACATCCACCGGCACAAAATTTAATTAAAAAGAATAAAAGAAGTGTGGGAACATGTTAACCGTAGTGACGAGAAAATCAGTCTAAATTTCTCAGCTTGCCACCCTTATACTTTAAAAAGTTGAAATTAATTTGAACATACACTACAATGATAAGCATATAACTAACCTACCAGAAAAGAATGAATGAAGTGTATTTTCTGGATACAGCTAGCAAGGACGACATTGTATTATGAATAAATGCTAGCTAGGATCCTAATGTGAACTGTCCAATAATTAAGTTGTTGAAGTTGGACTTGTATGGTGGATGCGTCCTAGGAGAAATTTAGAAATCCTAACTGTTTTTTTAATTTTCTTTTGAAAGCAACACACTTTTTTTATTTTATTTTAGGAAAATGCTAGGGGTACACCAAAGGAATAACCCATATGTCCCCCACCCCCTCCTTGTCCACATAAATTGGCAAGAAATTCAAAAAAATAAAAATGGATGTTGGAGAAGGGGGTGGTATCCCTAGCATTGCTCTTTATTTTATTATCAAATCATCAATTGTACAATCTTTAACACTCAATAGAATATTATTGTTGGAGTTATAGTTGATTATTTTAATTGGAAATAAAAAATTAAAGAAATTCTTGTAGAGATGAGAGTGGAATGAGAAAAGGAAGAGTAAAAAGAGGCATGAGAGGTGTGCCATGTCAGCAAAACTAGTAAACAAATCATTACGTGGTAATAAGGTCAACATGGGGTCATGCTACACTTACACCACAAATTATATCCCATTTGTACACCGCAGTTATACACAAACATTTGATGGTTTACACTGATACAAGTGTTTGTGCGTTAACAAAAATTTACACAGACACAAAGTGTTGATGCATTAACAAAAATTAGTTTTACACCAACAAAAAGTGTCAGTGCAAACCTGCGGGGTACAAAGTGGGGTACAAAAGTTGGGATACAAATAGATTTATCCGGTCAACATTCATACAAATCGGCGTGTGCTGACCCTATGTTGTGATTGACCCGCTACTTTGGTATAAGTTTCATATTTTTAGTCTTATATAGGGAGAGTTTCCTTTAATATTAGACATTTGTGAGGTACTACGTTTCAATCAGATGTCATAGTTCAAGTGGTCAAGAGAAGGTGTAAATTAAAAGAACATTGTGGCTAGATTCGACTATTCACAACAACAATGTGGGATCATTATGCTTATCATATGGTCCTTGTACTTACCGGGATTAATGACACTTTCTATTGACCACTTGAGATTAGAGCTTCATTTGATTTCTATCACGTTTTTTTTTGTCTAAGTTAATTTACTATTTGGGGAAAATAGTATTACCTTCGTCCCTAAGAATCTGTCTTTTTTTGGCTTTTTTGGTCAAATTGAATCAAACTTGACCATATATTGTGAAAAAAATGTTTAATTATAATGTAAATTCAAAATTTATTTATTTAAATTACATTTAGTTTGTGATTAAAGAGTGTCATGGCTTTACAAAAAAAGGCAAAATAGGAAATTTTTTCCGAGACGGAGTAAGTTTATACTAGTTCTTATTTTATACTCCGTATGTTTTTGATGTAGTTTTTAGTCATATAGTTTTAAATTTTATAATAATATTTCAACATATTGAAAGGAAAATAAATTTAACTAAAATTTCTTAAGGTAGCGTTTGACAACCAGAATTTCATTTCAATTCATACATTTCAATTCCAAAATTTGAAATCTTAAATTTTAAATGACAAGGTGAGGTGCATGAATTTTAAATTAAGCTTTGTTATGAATGAAGAGAATTTTACTCAAATCCAAATTCAAAATTTTTAAGTTTCCCAAACATGGAATTTGAGCCAAATTCAGATTTGAATTCCAAATCCATGTTCCCAAACATACCATAACTGTAGATTGACATTCATTTTGAGACAGCGAGAAAGTTTTGTAATTTTTTGTTACAGAGGAAATAGTTATGTTAGTAATGTGCCAAAGAAAATGTTAACATGCTTATCACAATAAATATAGTGAACAAAGTGTACATTGTTGGAGTTTCTACGCAACGGAAAATAAAGATGAATACCACTAGCATATATAGAAGGATGAAGTCCTACCTATCAGCTTAAAGCCTTAAACTTTAGATTAGAATAGTGAATCCTGATTTTATATGCAAGTAGTTAATTTTACCTTATAATCTATCTGTTATTTTCGGCCCGCCGCAAGTTTAACATACATTTTTGCCATTTTGGTCACAGGGAATGAGCATGTTGACACTGGTGGTTTCTGTGCCCGGCCTAAAACCGCCATCGTGTAGTGCTCACCAACCACTTGGACCTGACTGTCCAATGCCAAGTCCATTGCAATTGGGCCTATTTTTCGGGGCACTCTACACGTTAGCGGTCGGGACGGGCGGGACGAAGCCCAATATATCGACAATCGGGGCGGACCAGTTCGACGAGCACGCGCCCAAGGAGAAAGCCCAAAAGCTGTCATTTTTCAACTGGTGGATGTTCAGCATATTTCTTGGCACACTCTTTGCCAACACAGCTCTGGTGTACATCCAAGACAATGTGGGCTGGACCTTGGGGTATGGGCTTCCCACAATTGGGTTGGCTTTGTCCATAGTGATATTTTTGGCTGGGACTCCATATTATAGGCACAGGAAGCCCAGTGGGAGCCCATTTACAAGAATGGGTATGGTCATAGTTGCAGCCCTAAGGAAATGGAGGGTCCCAGTTTCTGTTGATCCCAAAGAATTGCATGAGCTGGATTTGGATGAGTACACCAAGAATGGGATGCATAGAATTGACTCTACACCTTCTTTGAGGTTAGTTTTGGAAAATTATTCATGAAATTGCTTTACAAAAAAAGTTTTATTTTATTATACCCAAAAAAATCTCACTAGTTTACCAGGATGAAAAAATGTATTGAAAACATGTTAAATAATGAAAAATGAGTGATTAAAAATTGTTTAGAAGATAGAGAATTACTGTGTAAAAAAGCTATTTTGAGATCAACAGATGAAAGAAAAAAGTGAGAAATCTTTGCAGGACAGAGGGAGCACTAAATAATAGAGTTGTTTTGGTGGGTTTTTTTTATTTTTATCCATTTTTTAAGATTTATCTTATTTTTAATTTTTTTGTTGAGTTGGTTTAGTAACAAGATGCTAATTTTTAGGTTTTTGAACAAAGCTGGAGTGAAAACAGGTTCCACCAGTCCATGGCTACTGTGCACAGTGACACAAATAGAAGAAACAAAACAGATGCTGAGAATGCTACCCATTTTAGTGGCCACATTCATTCCAAGCACAATGATTGCACAAGTCAACACTCTCTTTGTCAAGCAAGGGACAACTCTCAACAGAAGCATAGGCAGCTTCAACATACCCCCCGCCAGCCTCTCGGGTTTCGTCACGCTCTCGATGCTCGTCTCTGTTGCCTTGTACGACCGCTTCTTCGTCCCGTTCGTCAGAAAATGGACAAAAAACCCCAGAGGGGTGAATCTCCTGCAACGCATGGTCATCGGTGCAGTTCTTCACATCACCATCATGGTCATAGCCTCGCTGACCGAGAGGTACAGGCTAAGGGTGGCAAATGAACACGGCCTCGTAGAGAGCGGAGGCCAAGTCCCGCTGACGATTTTCGTATTGCTCCCTCAATTCGTCCTGATGGGGACCGCGGACGCGTTCCTGGAAGTGGCGAAGATCGAGTTTTTCTACGACCAAGCGCCCGAGAGCATGAAGAGCTTAGGGACATCGTATTCGTCGACAACGTTAGGAGTGGGGAACTTCCTCAGCACGGTGTTTCTCTCCAACGTTTCGCGAATCACGAGAAGAAATGGTCGCGGGGGATGGATTCTCAACAACCTCAACGCCTCTCATCTTGACTACTACTACGCCTTCTTCGCGATACTTAATGTCGTGAACTTCGTCTTCTTCTTAGTTGTGGCTAAATTTTATGTGTACAAAGCCGAAGTCTCCGACTCCATGATTGTCTTGAGGCGAGAATTGGAGATTGGGTCGAGAAACAAAGTTACTAGCCAACAAACATCTGAAGCATAGTCGATCTAGATGGATCGACTATAACTATACTAAGAACACTTCTGTTATAAATATAATTTTTGTTCCCATACAACCCTAGCCTTTTTTGGGTCTATACATTTTGCTTTGAAATACAGTATATAATAGTCTTATGAGGTAGTAAAACAACCTTTTCTTATGCAGCCATTCCTTTTTTTGCTCACTTTGTTTTGACAAAACAAACTTAACCAAAAGTTTAAGCTTATGGCAGTAAGACAACGAGATCGAGATTCTATAATCTCAAAACTCTCTCAAACTCAATTAAACAATGCATCATGATATTACATTCCAAGTTATGTTGATCACATAAGATTTTTTTTTAAAAAAAATGCATTGATTTCCTTGGAATTAGTTTTGGAAAATATGATTTTTGTCTTGACTAATTAAAGCAGACAAGCTAATCTGTAGATTCCCTCAAAAAAGAAAGAAAGAAAGAAAGAAATGCTCTCTTTGTTGTTTCTGTAATGCTGCAAGCTGTACAAAGTGACTGCTCAAATGGTGCATTTTCAACCTCTCCTCTTGGCCAGTTGGAAAGTCTTCTTAAGAAAAAGATTGGCATTTTTGTCATTCCTGTAACACAATACTCTCAGTATCGTGTTCGGGTCTGACCTATGCCATCTTCCTGTCGTCGGAGGCATTGGCAGCCTCTGACCGGGGCCCATCAGGCCGATCCCGCTTGCTTCGCAGGCGAGAAGGCTGAAATTCTCGACTAACTGTTGAGTGGATTGGCCCATGAGCGCCACCACCCCGTCCACCGCCTGCGCCTCCTTGTCCACGCTCTCCTCTGCCATCAACCCTTCACCGCACGTGTAGAATAACCGCTTCAGGTGCTCGAAGTCGTCCTCGATCATCTCGTGGTCCGCCCTGGTGAACGCTCTCGAGCTCCCCCCGGCGAGCAAAACCATAAGGTAGGCCTCGAAGCTCGCCTTCATCACCTCCTTGATCGCCACGGGTTGAGCCCTTTCTGCGACGATCGCGCATAGGAGCGTCAGGTTTTGCTTCAATGTCCTCAACGCGGGGCGTATGCGCGCGCTCTCCACCCCGCGTTGGTACAAGCCGCCGTACAATACGTTGTTGGAGTCGAAGAAGATCAGGCGGTAGGCTGCGACTTCCGACACGTGCTGGCAGGCGGAGTGGATCATCGACCGGGCATGGTCAAAGTAAGAGGAAGAGCCGCTTGTCCTTCTTGGGGAAGGGACAACTCTTGGGTTTAAGGAGAGGGATTTTTCCAAGGAATTGAGATGGGAAAGTATGTAATGCAAAGTGTTGAGCCTGATGTAGAGGCGTTGTGTCCCTCGGCTCGTCGAAGGCCGTGGGTGGTTTCCTTCGTTGGTGGAGATCGGGTTGTCACCGTCTAGTCCCGCCCTACAGCCGCCGGCTCTCTTCCATAGCCTGGAAAACTTTGAGTCTTTGCTACACCTTGTTAGGGGTGGCAATGCAGGGACATAATTCTTCTTTGATCCTGCAACCATTGGAGCCAAAAACTTAAGTTTGTAGTTGTGGTCTCGAACAAAGATTCTGGTAAAATGTTAAAAACCAACTCAATGAAGAACACAAACTTGGGTTTCACAATTATTTGTGAAACAAAACCTTTTCCACCATGAAAAGAAATTCTTACCACATGACATGACGAAAATAACGCATTCGCGAACGATTTGCTCGAAACCATCTGCGAGAGTTCTGACAAAATTCTCGGAGACGCTAACGGGAATTTCGAAGAAACTGTCAACCGCGTCTTTCGCCTGCCTCATGAGCTCCACTGCAGACTGGGCATATGGTTCTGTCTTGGATTTTGGATTCCATGTCTGGTGATACATGAAAATATACAAAAAAAAACATTTGTGAAGTGACTTTATACATTGTTTTTAACAAATGGTAACAAAAAAATAAAAAGTAGAAAGTTGAACATGCCTCAGTGTCTTTTGCTCTATGAACAATGTCCCTACACTTCTTCAATTTTTCTTGGATCCATTGCCTTAACATGGTCATGACCATTGAGTCAACTTCATAAGAGGCCATCTCTCTAACCATAGCTTTCCCTCCATCCTCACATTCCTCACAAGCCTCAGCCACCATCCCAAACAAGGCCTTCTCTAGCTTCCCGGCTTTCTGCAACAACAGAACGGTTTCGTGCGTGAGAGATGTCACGCCCGACAAGTATCGCTTCAGCATGGTCCCGTAGCAGTCGTGCAACGCCACCGATGCCACTCCTGCCGCCACTGGGTGCCATTTCTTCAGCACCGGACTATAGAATTTCCTTTCCTTCTCTGCCAATTCCTCTGCCACATCGGCTAGTTTCATGAGCGTTTCGCTCAATTCTGATGTTTCGGCATTTGCGCTCCGTCCTTCCAACATCTGTTTTTTACATCAAACAAAAAAAATTAGCACAAAATTAAACTCTAACAGGAAAAGATTTTAAACTCTAACACGCACCTTTGTGAATGCATGTTTAATTGATGATCTAATGTATTGCTCCACCCGACTTCTAGTAGAGTTTTGTAATGTGAATGCCTCTTTTCCGACACGAGTAGTGGCGTAACCGAGCACATCTTCTTCCAAGATTTTGGCACTGGAGAAAAACAAAGGGATAACGATCTCGAGTAAGCCAACATTTCCCACATCGAAACTTTCATGGTAAGAGGACAACTTCTTATCGGACCACTCCTTCATGAATGAAAGGACATTTGCCAGCATCTTGACATAGAGAGCTTCCCTGTCAGCTCTTTTTGCATCATTTGCAACCTCGGAGAGCATGGCCAGGGAAGCTCTGAGCAGATCCTTCTCGACTTGACCAGTCAAGAAGTACTGCTCGAAGAGTACCCAAGTGAAACAAAGGTTGTGGATCGACTTGTCGATCCCCAACGTCAACCACGTCTTCCTCATCAGCTCGAGCAGCTCATCGACCTCATCCAGCACGCGAGTCTCGTCCCTCAAGTCGAAAATGCACCCGAGAAGCGCGACGTAGATGTGGATGTTGAGCGGGTGGCCGTCTGCCCAGTGGCAGATGTCCACGGGGGACCCATCCGGGCTACGCCAGGCCAAGGACACGACGGAGTTGACGAGGCTCTTCATCACCTCGGAGTTCTTCCCCGTGTCGATGGGCTTGGCCTCGGCAGCCCGGATGATCCCCTTGAAGCGGGCAGCGTGGGGGTTGGACTTCTCGAGAGGGGTGGAGGGGTGGCGGAGGAGTCCGGCCTCCAGGATCTTCAGCTGCCGCTTCTGCCATGCATGGTATTCGTTGGCGTCGTTGAATTCGGATGGTTTGAGGTTCCGGAGTAACTCTAATGGAAGGATGATCGTCTCTGCTCTTCTGTTCATCTGCATCGATCCCCACATTTTACCAATATAAGAATCAGAAGATTTCACAGATGGGTACCCAGAAACTTGAGTGTTAACAAGAATCTACAAATCCAAAATCACTGCAGAGAAGGGGATCGGAAGTCCATTAAATTGGTTTAGCTATTTAAAGGCCCATTGAAGACCTCTCCGGATTTGCATTCTAATTCAAACTATTTTCTTTCAAAATCAAATTAAGGGTAAGAGAATAATATTGCATAAAGAGTTGTACGGTTGTGATGTTAAGACCTATACCTGATGTGAATATTCTCACATATTTTTTATAAATTCATAATTGAAGGTACAACATGTATAATCATTTTATACATTAAAGTTCATAAAATGAGTATGAATCTAAGGATTACCAAAAAAAATTTCTTGCAATAAAACCTAACAAATAAAAAAATCAATAAAACCCGACAAATTAAAATTAAGGTACAGTTCATATTTAAAAAATGTAATATTGCATAATTATATTTCTTTGAAATGACATTAACTTTTACTCCCTCCATCTCCTAGAAAATTGGCCTAGTTACTATTTTAGAGTTTAGACTTTCCATAACTTTTATTTGCATAATATCTTTTCGTCATTCATTTTTATTCTTGTCATTGATTGTTTTGTACAACTTTTGATACATATAGTCTTAAAATGTATAATTTGAACTTTTTATTTCTTTATCAATATGTAAATAAAATCAATTTAAAACCTTTTCATGTTTTCAGGACAGAGAGAGCATTGAATTTTAGTTTTCTAATTTCTTTATTGAACCTTACATGTCAATTTATTTTTTTAAAATAATTTATTTACAATTACACTATAAGTTTTTTGAATTAAAAGTAAAATAAATTTAAAATCAAAGTCAAACGGTACTTACAATCAATCAGAGAAATCTGAAATAAAATAGAGAAATCATAGCACATAAACTTTGTTGAACTAAAGACATTTCAAGCGCATAAAACAAATTTTGGTAGAGTATAGATTAATACATGAAGGATAGTGTTTCTTTTGGTAGAGTATAGATTAATTTTAAAAAAAACACAAGCTAAACATTACAGCAGTTAAAACTCTAAAACTTTTTTAAAATGTTAAAACTAAATATTAAATCTATTATAAAGTTGATACTCCATTCGTCCCAAAAAAGTTTTATGTTTGACTTTTTTGATCAAACGTTATAAATTTTCACCAGAATTTGTGAAAGAAATATTTTTAGCTATGAATAATTTAAGTTCAATATAATTAGATTTATTTTAAAATAGAATTTATTATTAATATATCAAATTTTCATATCATTTATGAACATATAAGTATAATTATTAATGGTAAAAATGTTGTTTTGATAATGATGAAGAGTGAAATGAAGAAAATAATTACTCCCTCCGTCCTAAAATTAACTTTTTGACTTTTCACGGTCTCCAATACAACACTTTGACCATCAATATCTCAATTTTTATATAAATATATTTTATAAAAATTATATATTTTAAAACTATGTTTCAAAATGAACCTATTGCTAATAAATTTATATAAAAATTCAATGTATTTTTCCGTAATATACGGTCAAAGTTTAAAAAGTTTGACTACAAAAGTCAAACTGTGAAATTAATTTTAGGACAGATGGAGTATTAGGGAGTACTTTTTTAATTGTGAAATTTGCAGTAAATAGGACTATAATGTAAGACTTAAACTTTTTTATTTCTAAAATATGACTTAATAATGACCTAATAGATGGAATAATGTCTAGTAATGATGGACATTTACTTGAATAATGGCTACTTGATAATGACCAAAGATCCTACATTGGAAAATAAAAACATATGATCTTATATTGAGAAAGTCATTATGTTTTAGTCTTATTTAGGTAAATTTCTCCTTTTGTAATTTTGATGTTGGAGTCTAATTGTACACGTGGCATTCATCCATGCATGCAAATCAAAGAGATACCGTACTTGGCCAACAAGAGTCCGGAGGAGAGTTTTGCGGAGCCTGTTGTCGCTTTGTTCCGTCACCCTCATCTGCCGCCGCATGATCTCCGCTGACGTCATCGGCCTCCTCCCCCGCGCCGGCGATGGGCCGCTCGGGGACGACGGTGAAGCGACGGTCCGCGAAGGCAACCGCTTCATCATTTTCAACCCCAACACCCACTTCACCCGGCTCGTCACCGCCATCCCCACCCCCGGCCCGGTCGCCTTTGCGGGCGATCCGTGGTTCCCATCCAACGCCTCCGGTTGGCTACCCGAGATTCCACGGCCGAACCCCGGGGAGGACCCGCGGCAGGCCGTGAAGAAAATCTCGTACGCCGCCTCCCGGAAATCGTCTTGGTCCAAGCCTTCGACTCCTCCTCCGAACGGCCAAACGAGGATGCCGTCGGAGACGCTTGTTACGGGGGCCGCGGCGGTTGGCGGTGACATGGCCGTCGCGTGTGGAGGTGCGGGTGGCGGTGAGATATGATATGATCCGCTCGCCAACAGAAGATATCGTGGTCAGATATCTGGCGGGAGAGAGAAGCCGGGAAGCATTATATTTTCTTTTTCTCTTTTGCTAGGAAAGAGAGAGAGAGAATGGAATATTGGGGGGAGGGCAAATGTTGTTGTTCTCCGAAGAAAGCGGGAAGGTAAAGTTATGGTGGTCGTTATATTAAAATGGAATTTTATTATTTTGAGGGGGGTGAAATTTTATTATTGAGAAAACTGCGCGTGCGGGTACTTCATATTTTAAAAATATATTTTGGGTATCTTTTATTTTAAAAAATTAACTATGGGGTAACTTATATTTTTAAAATATACTTCAGGGTAACTCCAAATGTATATTAACTTTCCGCGAGGGACATACTGTTTCATTCGAAAGCTTCAACTAAACTGGATATATTATATCCTTAAAGTATAAGAACTAAGGTTATTTTTGGAATTCCAAACCCATATATCTTAAAATTAATAGCGTAACTAACTCTGACGAAGAGTGAGACGAAATGTCCATCACGGGTAAGCTAATGTATATTTGGAGGTACCGCGGAGTATATTTTAAAAATGTGAAGTACTTGACAGTTAGTTTGTCGAAATAGGTGATACCCAGGAGCAGTTTTCTGTTTTATTAATAGTATCTTGCTCTCCTAATAAAATTTACTCTTTTTGTTCTAGAATATTTGAATGAAATAAGTAATTGAATTCATAAGAAAAAAGATAATCCCTCGTTCCTAATTTGACAACAAATTGGGAGTTACGAGGCAAAATCTTTCATTTTAAAAAATCATTTTATTTATAAATTGGTACATCAATAAGAAATAAAAATTACATATTCAAAAACTACGCCAAAGTTGTACATAAAAAGTTATCGAGGAGAGAGAAAAAAAATTATAATCTAATTAGAGATGAAAGGAGTAATTTTTTGACATTTTAATTTCAAAAAAGTCAAACACAATGAATGCTACAGCATCTCGTGATGGATAGAGTGTGTTTTAACTTGTGAGAGCATTAGGGCATGGAAATACGTTTGAAGCCCCGAGGCTTCAAACCGGGGCATCAAGCTTTCTCTCTGTCACGTCAGCTTTAACTTACATCCAAAATTCACTGGAAATGGGTTTGAAGCCTCGGAGCTTCAAACTGGAGCTTCAAAGCTTCATTTTTTACATTTTTAAATATACATCTTCTAAAATTAAATTAATAAAATGTAATTAATTTATTATTTAATTATTGAAACATGAATAATAAAAAAATACATTCATTAATTAAAAAAAAGCGACAATAATAAAAAGGAGAGGGGATGATTTCGAAAATATGGGAAGAAGAAGATTGAAGAAGAGTGAAGAAGGAAGGTGTGAGAGATTGGGAGGGGGGGTTTGAATTTATAAAGAATTTTTTTTGGGGGTTCCAACGGCTATTATAGCCGTTAAAGGGGGAGGGGAAGAGAATGACGAAGCGTCATTCCTTTGACGCAGGCCGTTTCACGCTCGGGTAACGCTGCCGGGGGACAGTGTTTAACCCCCGGGGCGTGAAAACAACCCTAATGCCGGGTGGCGTTATAGGTATACCCAGTGCTCTTAGGTATACCGAAATTAAATACGCTGAATGTTTTGGCGGGTAAATTTCAGTCACCGTACCGAAACTTTCGCTAGAATTTGAAAGTGGTATCTAAACTTCAAATCCTTTCACAAAAATTTCTGAACTTACATAATTTTTTCACTAAAATTCTAATTTTAAAAAGAAAGGGGGAAGAAAAAAAAAGAAATGGGGTCAAATTGAAAATTTTAAAATATATAAAATTCTAATTTAGCCCCAAAAAAATTCTAAAATATATAAAATTCTAATTTTGTTCATTTTCAATTTTTTCTTCAATTTGACCCCATTTCTTTTTAAAATTTGAATTTTATATTAGTGAAAGGATTATGTAAGTTCAGGGATTTTTTTGAAATGATTTGAAATTTAGGTACACTTTGAATTACTTGAAAAGATTATGTAAATTTAGTGAAAGTTCAAGTACCATTACTGGAATTTACTTGTGTTTTGGCATTGTAAAGCAATAGCTTTTAGGCTCTTTGTAATGCCCCACGCGGCCTCTCCCGTGCTCCTCCATAGCAGTCCCATGTCGCCGCGTGACCAAGGGCTACACTAC